ATAAAATTGTACCTACGTTACCTGCCCTTTATGGAAGATACATTAAATTTTTAAATTTGGATTATTATTTAATAAGAATTTTGAAGATGTCACTGCTTCACCGTTGAAATATTCTTGATGCTTAGAATGGGTTATTGGTAAACTAATAGCACTTTTTTTTTAGTAGGAACTATTTTTTTCAAATTTGTATGCGGTTTCTTTGAATTGTTCTGGAAGACAACATTAAAACCCGCTAAGTATTGTTGTCATTTATAGCAGATGTTGCATCTTTTTGAAAGTTAGCTCAAGTGCCTTATTTGTGTGGACTGTGAGGAAAATAGTAGGCCTCAATAATGTCGATCCTGACGTTTTTTTAAAAAATCCGATAATCATACCAGTATGCCTATATACTCTTTCTGTAAAATGCTTAATTTTATTTAACATTTCTGACATGATTCCCCAGCGCCTTCTTTGGGATTCCCACCGCTCCCCACCCCTAAAATATCCCGCTTTACACACCTTTTGCAGCCGCATGGATTGTAAGACCTACGCGACGGCTCTGCTCGCCCAACTCAGGCAACTGAACTTTTTGGAATGTTGAGAAAGCTTAATTATCGGTCATGAAAAGGTTTGGGAGATGAAAGGCATAAAAAAAAAAAAAAAAGAATTAATACATATTTAATAAATAATAAGCCTACTATAGACTGCTCGTTACACCTATAATATAATTTATTAAGTCTTTATAAAGTCTAAACGCATACAATTTGAAATGAATTATCTCCGTTGCATACATACACATTTAATAAGGCTATTCTTAAAGAATGAAGAGATCGCAACAAGGTTAGCTTACCCCATATTACTTACAGAGGCTTTGGTGGAATATTATGAATGAAAATAATGGGCTTCAGTGTTGGCGGGGCGTAAAATTAATGTTGTCCCCGGGCTCCAAACACAAGAAACGCCTCTGATTACACAGGAAGACGCTGATGAATCAGCGACAATTAATTTGTATCGTGCACCTTACTTAATAGATCATAATGACATATTTTATGTGCAGAACAGTAGCCACTTTATCACAAATACCAGATTGTCCAGATTGATACTTGATGCCAAGTTTTATTTTACCGAACATTGTTTAACACGAAATATAAATGATGTACAGCTTTATAAGATATTTTTTTTAAAATTAAAAGTAAATAAAATGACAGATAATCTTGTAAAAATTATATATAAAAATAAATAAATATTAAGTTTATAAGAAACCAGATATCCTGGCTTAACCGGATGTAGGAAGCAGGCGGTTGTTTTTAATAATTTCAACAGGATTAAGAAATGCTCGAAATGTATACAAACACTTTTCAATGGAAAAAAGTACAATACAAATGACACGAAAGATGAACAATTTAACATATGTTGACAATAAATGAGTACGTTCCTTATATATTTATTTTTAATCAAATTAAAATGAATCAGCGGTATTGGAAGACCAAAGAAAGCAATTCCATTAATTAATTTAAACTGGGCAGCAATTTAATTTAATTATTATTATTCAAACATGAATCAGAAAACAAACTTGGGCTTAATCAATTTGGATAAAACTGCAGCATCTGATGTCTCCATAGCATTTGATAATCTTTACCTACATGTGAGCCCAATCCCAAGACCTCTTCTTGGAAACACAACTAGGGTCATCGGTCAAGACTGGCACAAATTGCCACATTTTGGACCAAAGTCTTTGGCAAAGGTCAATCTGGGGAAACCTGTTGAGAGTGACTATGATTCTTCCAGTACAAGTAACAGAAGAATATTATGTGATGGCCCTGATGGTCTGTTGAAACACACTAATCTTAGTGTAAGTAAAACATTTTTAAAAGTAAACTGCGGTTCAACTCAACAAGGCCAAGGGAATATAATCAAATTGACTTGACGTAAGTTAGGTTTATTAATTATCGTTCTGCTCGGGTCGTAAATGGCGCAAAAACTTGTGACCTACTTTTTAAAAAAAGTTTTTGTTGACCTTGTTGAATAACCTCGGGCACCATAATTTGATTAGGTAAATAAACTTTTTGGTAAAACTTTTTTGTTCGTTCAGTATCGTATTGATTGGTTTTTGCACATTTCATGTCACTATAAGTATAATATATAACCAAGTGATGCCGCTATCAAAAGCACAGGCGGTTTGTGAAAGGCTGGTTGGTAAGTGTTTTAAAGCTTAAATAATTGTTTTTTGTAGAAATCTGACAACTGAAAAGACTCTAATTTGATAAAGTCCTCAGCTATTTCTGGACTTTTAGAACTTAATAACGGTTATGACGCTTCGCTTAAGAAATACAAATGCAAGCCTTTCTAAGTCTAAGGTCACATAATAAATCCCAAAATCATATTTCTGCCATTTTTTCCCTCAATCAGGGATGACTGAGCTGATGTTGATAGCAGTTTTTTTTTAATAGCTTTTTTTGTATTAATATGCAATCTTAAAACATTTAATTGGATCAAAGCAGATTAATACAAAAATAATTGCTTTTAATATAAATCTATTAATTATAAATATTTGAGATTTACCAGTTATTAAAAAAAGAAGGCGAAGGCTTGAATTTCTTTTTTGTACTTAAATTATGTTGTCAAATATTCTACATTAAAATTATTTATTATGTTACTTGTGATTACTATTTGGATTCTTGTTTATTTTATTGTTAATAAATTACGAAATTGCTATAAAATATTAAAGTATTATAATTGTAGTAATTTATTTTGCTAAAAGAAACAAAACTATTGTATAGGCTAGACCTGCTAGTACTAATAGTACTAGGGCTAATTATTAAATTATATTTTATTTTTGATTCATAGGCCTAAGCTAATTTAGTAAGGCCCACTACTTATAGACTTAAATATAAATATTATTTAAGACATTTGGTATCATTTTAAGACTTATGAAAGTTATGCCCTTATGTCTTTTGAAAATCTTATTTCCAAGCGTCCAGACTTTTAAAAATGTTATCCTATATTTACAAAAAAAGTTGTAATAAAAATTTAAATAAACGTAGGCTACTTATTATCTAAATAATTAACACCAATAATAATAAAAGTATACTTTTACTACAGTATTTAAATTATAATTTCTTTAAAATAAATATAATAATGTTCCTTTACTTTTGATTTGATGAGACATTTGGATATTTTTATACAGAAAGAAGAAACACAGCGATAAGACAACTACACAAAGACAAAGAATATTTTTATAGTCTTCTTCCTGGTACAAAATTTAAAAAAAACCATTCTTGCAGAACTTCTTTTTTAATCAATCAGAGATGTTTGGCACATTCACAAAGTTGTGGAGACAAGGCTTATCAAGAAGAGTTGGTGGGATTTATCGATATGACTCCAAGAAGTGGTGACTAAAGTGTAGTATATACAGAAGATGGCAGTCAAAAAATGCCCATTGTATTTTTAATCACATGTATTCATAGGGAATTTTAGTTATATTATAATATATTAATTTAAAAATAAAAAATTTATGCATGAATTTTAAAAGAAAAGAATGACTTTTGTTTACATTTATACAAATATCATTTATAATATAGGCTAATGCGCACACTTAAATAGTTAAAAAAAAAAAAAATATACCGGTATTTTTTTTGTGTGTGTTATAGTCTTTATAAATAAATAAGCTTTAATATTTTTCCCCATTCTTCTTTTCGGGTTTTCATTAAGTTTCCCTCAAATATCAATGATCAACATGCAAAATAAACACTTCATGATATTTAAAGCCTTTGTTTTTTTTTAATGTGTTTTATAATGCACTGAGAATGTCTCCTAAAATTTAGTTGCATTATCTTTTGAAATAAAAAAAGTTGTGTTCAAAATGAGGCAGAAATTCAGAAAGTTGGTTCCAATTTTGTGTGGTTAAATGCAAACAAATAATGGGGTTTAAAAAATTCACACACAGAATCATAACTCCACTTCTATGAAAGCTAGAAAGATGAAATTGATGTTTCATCTGACACACAATTCAATATATGGGAAATGAATGAATCAGTGGTTACTGTTAATTACTTAAGGGGTCATCCATTAATGATGCCATGCATCTAGGGGAAGGGGTAATGTATTTGTGACCATGTGTGATGAAATTGTCTAATTTGTGTTGACAATGTGGGGGTGGGGGGGGGGGAGATGGAATAGGCACAACAAGTGTAACAGACATCATTTATGGATGCTCTAAGCCATATTAGGTCATGAAGTCATTCTTTAATTAAGATTAATTTCAATTAGGCCAACATTTTCTTTGTTAGCCTTATGATACAAGCTGAATTCAGTTGACAGTTCAATTTATTCCCATTTTGTAAAATCATACCCAGTAGGCCAATCAGGTTTCTTCTTACAGTAGCCCAATCATGTTTGGTTTTTCATTTTACATCTTAATCAACTAATCTAAAAATAAAAACTGAAATTATGTACAAACCTGAAACTACTGTAAGCAATTAAAATTTGTATTCATGAGAAAATTTGTTGGCCCATGTTTTACATTTATTCATCAGCCTTCATCACCTGAATTATTAAATTCATCATTGGAAAGTAGTCCGACAACTTTCAGGATAAGTCATAACAGTACCTTCAACAGAATTCAAGCAATGAAAAGACAGTGTGCAGTTTTAACTAGCACTGCTATTGAACAAGATGCTAAGCCAGGATGTAGTTTAAGTTACACGTATGTTAAAACATTTCTTTGCAGGATCTATCAAAACTAAAAAAAACTCACACTTAAATGTCACTTTTTAATTTAAAAAAAATGTAAAATCCTGGGAAAACCCGATATTATTAATGTTTGCAAACATTCATATCAGTTTTATGCACTCAATTCATACATGTGACGTAAGTTTAATTGAATTTTTGCCATTCACATTTTTACAAAGTATAGTACTTTACAGGAATATTGATTTAGGGCAGGACAAGAAAAATAAAAATATTTTAAAGCTAAACACAAATCACTCTTTATACAGTGTAATTGATGAGAGGGGAAAAGAAGACACCATCAAGGCTAGTGAAGAGCCTAAAGTGACAGTCATAAAAAAGGGTAAGGTTTATAATATTTTTTAAAAGCATAAACTTATAGATAAAATGTATTTAGACTTAAATAAGATCTTCAATATGCCTCTGTTGAAATTCTATGATTAAATGATTAATTTTATTTTGATTTTGTTTTACTTTCCATGGTATCATTAGGTGCGCCTTTACAATCGAATGCCGGTGGGCTTGGCCAGGGGAGTGAAGAGCACACTCCAAAAACTGGGAAGCTAAAAGCAGAACAAGAGAATGCTAAAAGCTCAGCTGAAATAAGAAAGAGTCAAAGGATACAAAAACATTCTTTGATCAGCAGCAATGAGAAGTCACATCAGAATAACCGAAGAAATTCCCCATTGAAGGCGGGGCAAAAGAAAGTAAAGGGCGGGAACTCATTCCAGAAAGAAACTGCTCATCTTAAGAAACCGGTATTGTAAACGACAGATGTGTTTCGCTAGAAAACAGTCTTGAAAAATGTATATATTTTGCTTTAGATTGTAAACAACCACAGTAAAACCTCTTTATTCATCATTAATCTGTTCTGGTGGCCTGAAGAATATGGATTCAGATGAATATAGAAACATTTTTTCCCCTTAAGAAATTTGATAGGAATTGGCCCCAAAGAGTGTTACATAAATTTTGATAAATACATTAAAGTTTATCAAAACTTCACATTGGTTGCAGAGTAAAGATGATGGTAGATTGAAAATTATTATTGTATAGAGAATCACCTTTCATTTAAAAACATCCGATAACTCCGATTCTAGTGATGGGTTTCAGTTGCATAAGATCTTACAAAGAACTTCACTGATGTTGCACGTTTTTTAAATTTTTTTTTAAACCTTCCTGAAGTAGTCAATCACATTATCATTAAATGCATTTATGTTTTGGTTTAAGGTGGCTTCTTTTTTTTTCCCACTCTGCATTTTGGCCAAAATGGAAACCAAAAACAATTGTGACATAATAATAATAATTCCCATAGAAATTATCAGCACAAGGCTGACTTGAGTTGGTTTTTATGTCAGGAATGTAGAGGTTTAACTGTGTTATATTTTCAAATTCATGAATCTGCCACTCCCAGCCCTACCACACTTTACGTTCCCTTGCTGTAAATGTAAAATGAACTATTTTTTATTTCTTCCAGGTCATTTCTGGCAGGAAAAAAGCTGACATCACAGATCAAGAGGTGACCGTTTTGACAGACTGGATTATCAAACCAATACCATGCAGTCGTGCCGTTTGTGTTGAGGGGCAAAAAATGTAAGTATATTTAGCTAATTGCATGGTAGTAAAGCAAATATAAACCGCAACAACTGTTTATTTACTTTAATGAGTAGTTTTTATTGGGTAAATTCATTCTGTTTCCTAGTTTAAGTAACTAAATTATTAACAGAAAAAGTTTCAAAAGTAATATTCCCATGGTGTGACTAAACACATAATTTTTCTTTTGAGTGGAGCCTTTAAGAAAAAGGATAGCGACAATAGCCTTAGTCCTTTGTTTTTCGTCCTCCATCTGCAAAGATGACCAGGGGTATATTTGACGGTGAGTCGAGGTGACTTGTGAGTCCTATCTGTGCCTGAAAATCTCTTCCTTACGGAGAATGCTTGTCTTTTTTGGGTTGTAGTGGTTTAGGATGTAATTCTGCTTTTCCTAGCTGTGCATTTTTGTTGGGCGTGAGGTGTGCATTTACTCTCGAGTGTGTTCCAGCAGATATTCAGTGTAAGATCTAAAGCAAGTGTTTATAATGAGCTCAGGCTGATGTCCAATAATTTCAGGGACACTTTTAGGCGATCTTGAAATAGTTTTACTGCCTTCCGAGTTCTCCCTTTTATAGTTGACAGAACATTATTTGTTTAGGCTGTATGTTGTCTGACTTTCTTGTACAATGTCCAGCCCATCTATCTAGTTCATTTTGTAAGAATGTGTTGATGCTGAGAAAGCCTGCCCATTTATGATTTAATATCAGAGACTTTGTCCTGTCGCCATCTGTTAGAATGTATCTTTAGACAACATAGGTGGAGATAGTTTAGGGTCTAGCATGCCTATTGTAACTTGTCAATGTCTCACTAAAATATAGGAGAATTGTTGGTACAATTGCCCTTCAGCTTGGTGTTAAGACTGAGAGCTCTTCACTCCTGCAGAGTTCTCTAATTTACTTTTGCTTTGGCAATTTTGTTACTGATTTCATGATCTGCTGTTACTGAGGGTGATAGAATGTATTTTTTGTTTGTCTTTGCAGAGGGATGAATGACTTCTGGCACAGTACTGCTATATCGGAAGTGAAAAATCCTAAAGTTGTCGTAACAATCTCTGGCTCTACCTATCGATTGAAGGGAAGAATCAACAGACTTTGTACCATTGACAATGGTAAGTGATGCCAGCTTAATTGTTATGGCTGTTCAGCCAACAGCTTTTCTTGTTGAAAAGTAGCATAAAAAGATTATTTCATAACGGAATCATCGTATTTCCCAAACGCACAGGGGAGGTGGGTTATATTAAGATATTTAGTGTACGATGATGGTGAGAGGGTGGGAGAACAGTCTCTACAAATGAATACATGACCTAAAAATTTTGACAATTCTCTGAAAGCTAAATCCAAAGTTGTGGTTTTGGTGAAATTTATAGTAATTATGATTGATTGTATAAATAATCAATTGGATTCTCATATCAGCTGTGTTGTTGTTGTTTTTTTTTTTCTCAATATCTTATGTCACTTTTTTTATTTTCTATAATTAATGAAATCTTTTAAAATATTTACCCCATGAAGTCTTACACTTAAATCTCTGTTTGCTGTGTTAGCTCGGAGGAACTTTATAATCTAAAATGCTCAATTTTCAACTAACAACCCAAACTATTGTAGTCGTAGGTAAAAAATACAACTTCAAGGGGATGTCACTTGAAGGGGATGTCACTTGAGAAACAGGTAACAGTGATGTTCTCATTAAATAATGCATATTCATTTCATTTAAAAAAAAAATTAAAATTTAAGTAACCTTTCAGAAAATGCTAGTGTGGCCCTCCCTATCTTAACAGGAATACATTTTTTTCTTCAGAAAACTACATTTTTTATTTTATAATAAAAACTGTGTAAGACTAATATAAATATAATAAATAACTACTTTCCTCAACTGACTTGAGATTTATGACAAATTAGACAATGGCTCCAAAATTTACTTACCTTAAGCTCTTTTAAGACAAATATTTTTTGTGAATGTGTGGAATTTAAATTTGAAAAATTTGCCCTGTCTATTTTCAATAGAAAACTTCCATTTTTCACGTTGTCGGTCCCCTGTATGTTGAGGCCACTTAGGGCTATCCTAGACCTGAGACATATTCAGACAAATATATATTTTATGTTGTCCCCTGTACTTTGAGGTCACTTACAGCTATCCTAGACCATTTAATAAATCTTATGTAACTCACACAATACCAGTGGAAAACTTCAGAAATCATACCAATTCCAAAGAAAATTAAGGTAACGTGCAACAAGGACTTACGACCTGTTGCATTTACCTCTATTGTCATGAAATGTTTTGAGAAAATAATTCTGAAAGAAATTTTGAATGAAGTACACCAAAAACTTGACCCCCACCAATTTGCTTATAAGCCTGCCAGAAGTACGGAGGACGCAATCTTACTATTGTTGGAGAGACTTTACCATTACCTAGACAGTCCTAAAACATATGCCAGAGTGCATTTAACACTATCCAACCACACCTTATGATAAAGAAATTTTCCTCGATAGGTGTCAATTTAAATATTCAGGCTTGGATACTGAACTTTTTAACAAATCGACCACAATATGTCAAAGTAAATAACCAATTATCTCCAACCAGAGATATAAGCACCGGGGCACCACAAGGCTGCGTTCTCTCTCCTGTACTGTATACCATATATACAAATGATATTCAAAGCTCAAGCGACACCGTTCCAATCTTAAAATTTGCTGATGATACCACCATTGTTGTTTTAATATCTGAAGGAGAAGGCATATACTGCAATTTAGTTACGAGCTTTATCAATTGGTGCGATGAAAATTTTCTCCAGTTGAATGTCTCAAAAACTAAAGAAATGTTTATTGATTTCAGGAGGGGGAAACACCAGATTACAGATCTCAACATAAAAAATCAAAGTGTGGAGAAAGTGGAGGCATACAAGTACTTAGGTGTCACCATTAATAATAAGCTAACATGGCATGAGCACGGCCAAATGCTGTATAAGAAATTCAACCAAAGACTGTTCTACCTCAAAAAAGTGTACAATTTTGGTGTAAACAAGCTAGTCGTTAACTTATTCTACAGTGCAACTATTGTAAGCCTGCTTAATTTCAATATTACCTGCTGGTGTGGGAATTCAACGTCTGATATTAAATACCGCATAAACCGACTAATCAAGAAAGCTAGGAACATAACACAAACTAAACATCCTTTACTTGAAGAACTATTTGAAGAAAGATGTTTTTGCAAAACTAAACACATTTTGGATGATACATCCCACCCTCTTCATCACAGATACTTAAGATCGGGCCGTTCTGGACGAATTCTTTCCATCAGGGCGAGGACTGACAGATATAAATTTCTTTTGTTCCCCAATCTGTACGAATTTACCAGCATGCTTCCTCTGAAGTCACACATCTGAATGAGAACTAATAAGTCCCCGATTTTGCTAAGAGAACTCACTGAATGGCTGTTTGAAATAATTTATTATAAATGTCTTGTGTTAGAATTGTTTTATTTTTGAGCTGAAAATCTATAATGCAATCAAAAAACATTTCCATTTATTTGGATCAATAAAAGAATCTTATCTTATCTTATTTTTATGGCAGGTTAACCTGTGCAGTTAAAGCTTCAGTATCTCAGAAACTTGGACTTATTAAAATTTATATATGAACATTGTATTTGTTGTTGACAGGCATCCTTATTAAAATGTATATATATAATATTAACATTGTATTTGTTGTTTACAGGCTTCTCTAAAGACATTGCTGATGCATTTTCTAGTGGATTTCCCAAGAACTGGAGGGAACTTATTCAAGATTTCTATAGAGATATCGAAGAAAGGTGAACTATATAATTATTTCGCATTTGCTGGTCCAACAATTTGGAACGCCCTTCCTGTTGATCTCAGAAACAAACAGACACTGGAGTCCTTTAAAACCGATTTAAAGACACATTTATTTCGCAAACACCTTCTGAGACGATTGTCTACCATATTTTCCAGTTAATGCATATTGGCTGTGTTGCTTAGGGTTGAAATGGCTAGAAAGACTTTGACTTGGTATGCTTGTAATTAGTTTTTGTAGTGTTGCGTTTGTTTTAAATGTGGTAAATTATAGATTTGTTTTTTGTTGACTTTGTACTGCGCTTCGAGCTAAGTTTGAAATTTACATATTCTCATGATGTATGGTATGAACTTGTCATTGACAATCTATGTAGCTTTAAATCGCAGGTGACAGCATTTAAATTTAAAGGTGTCAATTAGAAATTGTTCCAGTCAAATCACTTGAACGCAATTATTTTTTTGGAAGCCATCACTTTTCTTCTTTCAGCAAAAATCTCCAAAATTTGTGGAAATTATTGAAATTTATACATATTTATGGAGATTGTTTGTAATTATTCATACTCATATGTTAAATAATTTTCAGAGATAAAAAAAATTGATAAAATATTATTATATCTATATCTCATTTTTAGTGTTACTAAAAAAATTGAAATTCAGTAGCAGGAGAACTTTTGAATTGACAAACTTAATTTTTATCAATTATCCAACAAGATTTATGGATAGACACTAGAGCTTAAACTATATATTCTATTGCAGTATTACCATTCATGAGGAAAAAAGACAACCTACAAGGAAGATGAAAGCATTCAAATTGAAATCTTCACCAACTAAAAAGAAAACTGGGAAGAAAGATGTCCTTGAAAAACATTCTAGTAAATATTTTGTGTAATTTAGTTTAGTTGAGGATTGCAGGCTTTTGCAACTTTGAACCCTTTAAAAAAGTAGAAATGCCTTTTAAAATTGTATTAAAAAAAAAAAAATAACTTCTAATTCATTTATTAAAGTACAAAAGGACTCATAGAACTTAGAAACTGCAAAAGGAATTATAGAACTTGGAAACTACAAAAGGAGTTATAGAAATTATTAAATATACTTTTGACAAAGTGTTGATGGAGGAAATTAAACAATGTGCAAACATTTTTATCATAACATAAAAGTAAATGGCTCCTCTGTTCTTACATTATTTTTCCTTGAAATTAGATTTTGCTTCCCCAGGTTTGGTAACTCTGAAATAAAGGCTTTCAATGGTACCTATTGGGATTTTATGAAACCATTCCTTTATCAATTTGTTATTATTTTTCATTCTTGCGCCCTATTTTTTCATCATAGGTCTATTCAGTTACGGAAGTGTCCAGTGAAATCAAAGAATTAACATATGAAATAAACGGGAAATTTAATAGATAAAATATTTTAAAAATTATTTAAATTTAATAAGGCTATAAGGGAAATCGAAGCGAGGACTGCAAAGGTGAAGTTAACAAGGATGGCGGATAGGATGTAGATATCATATGTAGATATCATGGACAGAAGGGTGATGGGATTTAGCTTTACCTACAGATATTTCGAACTCTTTGGCAAACAAGAAAACCGACCATTTTCAGTCCACTAAATCTCCATGCCAGCCAAGTTTTTCTGTCTGTGTGTACTTCTGCTGTCAAAGGCTTCTTAGCTGAAACATCCGCTTTTTTGTGTTACCCTTCTTCAGGGTTGTCTCTACCCTGTGTATAGTTTTTATTGCTTCAGCAGCTAAAGGATTTTTTGGAGAGAGAAAAAAAAAATGCTTTGGAGGAAATAAATTGAAGCTTGTGCATTTTCATGTTGAATCTCCAGTTTGGCACAATGCAAAAAAAAATATATATATTTTTTAAAAAAATGGTATTTTAAACTAAATGACCCATTTATTAATTTATTATTTCCAGGTATTTCTTAAGATGCTCAGATCAGTGTCCCCAGTAGGCTTTCAGTAAATTCTACTGGTTTGAAATTGAAAGCTTGTTGAGGATTTCAAATGAAGTCTCTGTCTAACATTTCTTTTAAAATAATAATATTAAGATTACCCATCATCTCTTTAGCCGTCTGGACCCCCGGGGGCCTGATACAACAAGAAATCAACACAGCAGATGTAACGGTTACCAGGAGCGGCCGCATTTCACTTCCGCCTTTGGCCAGGTGGGTCGGGCAACGTTACATTCAAGTAGAAGGTACAAATAAAATTCAAATCGGCTATAAAACCAAAGCAGCCGAGCAGGCCCTCAATCAAGTGACAGACAGCATTCTTCAGCTACCTAAGGTAATTTTCTTTCTATTTAAATTAAGCCAGAGCTGTCAAACTTTGATTTCAAACTGGATAAAACTTGTCATTGGGGGGTTACAATTTGTACAATCCTGTCAGTTTTCCCAGGGGGTCGTATTGAAGCTGGTCCCTCTGCTCTTTGTGTGTATAGCAATGAATGGGTGAAGGACTTGTATTTTATTTTAGCTGGTTGCCATGGTAAATGAAGCCATTCATGTTTATTTTGTTTGCAATGGAAAGAAAACTACCCCTGCATCATTACATACACAGTTATCATATTCTTATAGCTGTAAGAAAACTACCCTTGTGTTACGACCTTAATTACACTTAAAATGCTACGACGTTAGTTTGATACTTCCTCTCACATAGAACACAAGGTCCAGTGTAACAATATATAATATTTATTACATTCTTTACAAAGCAGGATACACATCAGTCCAAATACCAATTATCCACTCGCTCCTATCTCTACTGACTAACTCTTAACTGACAACTCTGACGACTAACAATTCTCTTGCTCTACCTTTTTTTCCCTGACTCTCTCTGTCCGACTTTCTTCTCTGTCTCTCTCTGACTGACCTCTAGCTAACACACATCCCTTTTATAATACCACACAAACAACTCAGCCTACGCAAACGTTCCACACCACGGACTAACTTCACGCTCTGACCTCACGATCAACAACTCACGATCAACAACTCACAAAACACTCATGAATCACAACTCCCCCTACCCAACATTCACAACAAACTAGTTCACAACACCTTGCATCATTACATACAGTTATCATTTTCTTATACCTGTAAGAAATCTACTCCTGCATCATAACATACACAGTCATATTCTTATAGCTGTGAGAAAAAAATCATTTCAGCAGCCTATGGTAATTGATATTAGATACATTATGGGCCACAACTCTTGCTTAACCAACTGCATGTCCAAAAATTAAACTGTTAACAAAACAACTCTCATAATTTGGGTAAAAGGAGTTCGATATGTGCAAGTCTAGTTATGTGTGTAGCAATGAACATTGAGAACTCTTTATTAGTCTGCAATTAACATCGATGAGACTGATGTATTAATGTATTTTAGTTGGTTTTTTAACACTTACTGGCCAAAATTAGTTGCTTAGCAATAGTTATTTCTTATTATTAGTTCATCCTTCAAAAATAAAATAATTTTAAACAAATAAATGACTGGCGTAAATTTTAACGCCATAAGCTCAGTCTCTAACTATTTCCATTGTTTTAAAGAGGAGTTCAAACAATATTTCATTCAATAGATCTATTTATAACTTCTCTCATAAGTAAGAGTTAAATATTTTATCCTCCCTCAGAGTGCACTGGCAAAGACATACCATAAAAGTTTATCACAAAGTCTCCAGTCTCCCACCACTACTAATATGTTAAACGGAAAAGATTCCTGTGACAAGAATAAGAAAAGTAATGTACAAGGTGTTAAGGTAGCGCTCCAAAAATGTCATATGGCACAGGAAATCTTAACTAAAACATCCAAGTGTCCTGAAGCCGTGAATAAGACACCATGTGCATCTAAAACGCAAGAAACTCCAGGCCAAAAGAATAAAATTATCTCTATTCCTAATGTATCAGATAGTAAATCAAGCCATCAAAAGCTCAAGCTTAGAAAATACAGTCCAATGCTTTCAGGTGACGTTCAAGACAATGGCCGGCCTGTGTCTGACACTTCTATTGAACTTAAACTGAAAAGCAGTTTTAATAAAACACTCGAAAGTCAAGCTGAGGAAAGGCGGTCAACAAAATCAATTTTATCCGTTTCTTATTCAGATGAACCAAAAAAGACAAGTTTTGTAAACACCAGTTCAAAAAAGGTTTCAATGAAAAGACGAGTAGGATCCTTAGATTCAAGTGAAGAAAATCATTCCACAAAAAAAGTCAGAAGACAAGAAGAGTCAAGCCATGAAAAAACTGTCAAGTGGAAACAGAAAAAGTTTGTAGGAGACCTGTCAGATTCAAATCTGGAAAATAATGTTATGGGAAAACAGAAAAATCAGATACACTCAAGCCCAGAAAAGAATTCTAAAGGAAAACAGAAAAATCAGCCACATTCAAGCCCAGAAAAGAATTCTAAAGGAAAACAGAAAAATCAACTACATTCAAGCCCAGAAAAGAATTCTAAAGGAAAACAGAAAAATCAGCTACATTCACGCCCAGAAAAGAATTCTAAAGGAAAACAGAAAAAGAGGAATGACTCAAGTTCTGAAGAAAATGTAAGCCCTACAAGGAAAAAAACCAGGTTATCAGATTCAAATAAAAAATATTATTCTGAAAAACTAAGTAAAAATTCAAGTATATCAGATAGTTCAATTGACAAGCATTCGAGGGTCGAAATACGTAACAAATATAAGGGTTTACATCATTTGAGCACAGAGGAAATTTCTATGTCGGCTTCACATTTGAAAAGAAAAGGAAAACACAAGAAAAGTGAAGCGAAGTTATATGATATTGCTCTTGAAAACGAATCATCTAGTTCTAAAGTGAACACAAATTCAAAAGGTGGAAAGGTCTCACAAAGTTCAGAAGAAGAAAATAATTATCCAGTGGTTAAAAAGGGCATAAAACGCACGCTAAAGAACACAAACTCTGTTGACAATCAGGGGGCTGATGGTAAAACTGACAACAAGCGTAAGCCAAAAAAACCTGCCAAGCTGACTGGTGATGATGCCTGGACTGTGAATGAGAAAGGAAAGTTTCATGAGTAAGTTAATCCTTTGTTTTTACGCTGTTTTAAAGTATTTTTTTTTTCTTTTCCTTTTTTTAATGAATACACTTTTAAAATTTAAACAACTGTAAACCAGATGCTGTCCCATATGTAGGGCTTTGGCCTGCCTCATCACTTCCTTCCACTCACACTTAATTGATGCTTTCCTTTTCCATTACTGGATTAATGCTTTTGTAAAATGTAATTAACTAATTATAAAAGTGTTAGACTGCGATTAAGCTTTCAAAGTAGATTAATGAGACACAAACAATTGGTGTAAAAAAAAAAAAAAAAATTTTTTTTAAGTTTTAAATCTAATTAAAACAAAAAAAAAAAAAAATAAAAAAGATAAAAAAAAAAAAAAAAAAAAAAAAAAAAAAAAAAAAATGTAATTAACTAATTATAAAAGTGTTAGACTGCGATTAAGCTTTCAAAGTAGATTAATGAGACACAAACAATTGGTGTAAAAAAAAAAAAAACAATGTTTGTTAAGCTTTAGATCTAATTATAGCTACACAAAATACAAATTCAAAGGTTTCAGCAAATGCCTTCATCAGTATAACAAAAAAAATTTAAATAAGTATAAATTAATTTTACATATTTAAATGTATATGTAGGTTTCCAAATTAACAAGAAAAGAATAAGAAAGGCCACAAGTCTCTAAGGAAAACAAAGCTTAGAAGAATGGAAAGAAAGTGGGTGGAAGTATAGTTTAAAAACCAAACAGGAGAAAGACATTGCAGCTGTGTAAAATTGTGAATTTGGTTTATACCCTTTGGAGTCAACATACCAAATCTTTTTATTAATTTATTTTCCATATAAATTCTATCAGGTGTATTACTTGCATACAATTATACCAGTAACTGCTATGTCTAATATTCCATTATAATTAACATTATTGAAATATATTGTTTTATTTACACAAATAATTTGTGTCTCATTAATCTTGTAAAGTATGCAAATAGTGAATTATTTGTTTAAGCCTTTGAAAATTAATAATCATAGGGTAAAATTGTCAATCTGTAATAATAATATTCAAGGCAAATAAAAAAATTTGTATTTCACACTTAAATATCACTACCCGCACTACTAAAGTAACCAGTTAGCTATCTGCACTACTAAAGTAACCAGTTAGCTATCTGCACTACTAAAGTAACCAGTTAGCTATCTGCACTACTAAAGTAACCGTTTAGTTAGCTGTTAATTATCATGTGATATATATTTTAAATTTATTAAAAATTTGTTCAATTAATTGTCTAAGAGTCAAGAACTCTAGTTACCTATGAAATTATAAATAATTCACATGCAGCACTCTGCCCCCACCTCCCCTTCACATCATCCCAAGGGGAAAGGTTGAATTTTAAACTTGTAAAATAGATCATATGCACGCACTGTTAAGGGTTGGTTTCAGAAAAAAAATAATTTAAAGGCTGTTGGAATTAAAATTCCTTTTAGATTCCTTCTTTGCCAAACCATCAAAGATTGAACGGGAGTCAAGTTTTACATACTGGTACCTTACATGTGATTACAATGCAGATTTTAGGTGATGCAGTGCCCAGTGCTGTGTTACATGCTCGGGGTTAACTCATTAACTAGTTAACTAGAGGTCAACTAACTTTACATACAAGTTTCAATAATCCTGAAGTGCTAATTGATAAAATGGCAATAATGACAATCTCATCTTGGAACTTGAATAAAGCTTTAAAACCAACATATGAATCAAGTTGGCTGAAAGTCTTCAGCTTGTTTTTTTAATTTAAGAACTGCTTCTCTTTGTTTCCTTTAGTGCTCTTAAATCATTAGACAGTGACATTTTGGATTATTGGCGGCAAGTTTCCCAGTTAGTTGGCACACGCTCTGAAATGGAGTGTCAGTTGTTCCATAAAGAGTTCCTGGAATCTAAGCTGGCCAATCCTCGAAAGACGGACAATCAAAAAAAGAAAACCAAAGTCTCAGGTTAGTTTTAAAAATATTAAATTCAGAATATACCGAAACTAATCTTCATGTAGAATTAATATAATCCATCACATAATTATTTTTAAATATTCATTATACACAAATTTGTAATGCCTGTTCTTATAAAATAAAAAGAAGCAATCTATATAATTGCATACCCCTCCACCTTGTACATGTTTTCAGACACACTCAAATGTACAAATGAGCCACAAAACCATCCCTTCACACATACGCACACAGTCAAATGTACAAATGAGCCACCAAAGCATCCCTTCACACACATACGCACACAGTCAAATGTACAAATGAGCCACCAAAGCATCCCTTCACACACATACGCACACAGTCAAATGTACAAATGAGCCACCAAAGCATCCCTTCACACACATACGCACACAGTCAAATGTACAAATGAGCCACCAAAGCATCCCTTCACACACATACGCACACAGTCAAATGTACAAATGAGCCACCAAACCATCCCTTCACACACATACGCACACAGTCAAATGTACAAATGAGCCACCAAAGCATCCCTTCACACACATACGCACACAGTCAAATGTACAAATGAGCCACCAAAGCATCCCTTCACACACATACGCACACACACAAAGAAAGTATTCACACTGCTTTTAACTATTAAAAAAAAAATTAAATTCTGTGTGTTATCAACAAACATGTCAGATTTTTGTCAGGCCAAACGATAGGTCAGTTCCTTACTCTTCTTTCTAAATGTAATATAATATATGCAAAGTATGGATTACTCCTGTCATATTATATATCTAATGTATGGATTACTCCTGTCATATAATATATGCAATTTATGGATTACTCCTGTAATATAATATATTCAATGTATGGATTTCTCCTATCATTATGATATATGCAATGCATGGTTTACTCATTTCAAAATGTTGCCCAGTGTCAGTGATGTATTATGTTTTACTAATCATGCGTCCTGTTGAGAAATCCTTAATTTCCAAGAGCATTTTTTTAAAAGATGTAAATTAGACACATTTATAAAAATCCAATTTTTGCTTTGATCTAATTATATAGATAAAATTTTGCTATTCATTAAAGTTTGATTGAAAATTTGTTAAAATGTGTACACTTTTCTTGTTAAGTCAGTAAAACTTTGAACTTTTTTGTAGCCTATTTCCTGACTCTGTGTGACATATTATTATTTTCTCAAGTTTAAAAAAAAAATGTTTCAGGAAGGAAAAAAGGAGAACCCATCAAAGGGGGCAAAGGTACATTAAAGAGAAAGCAAGGATTGAGGGAGTTCTTGGATGAGCAGAATGAAGGTTATGAAGATAAATTATTTGAAGGATCGCCATACTCGTCCAAAAAAACAACATCCCTGGTAAGTAAATATTCAAATTTAGACCAAAAAAATCTTAACAAGCATTGACCCTAGATTGCTATCTAATGACCATTGATTCACTTGAATAATTTCAATCCATTCCTGCCTAACTTGTTGTGAATCACCTTCCTTGTCATTCCTGCCTAACTTGCTGCGAATCACCTTCCTTGTCATTCCTGCCTAACTTGCTGCGAATCACCTTCCTTGTTATTTTCTGCCTAACTTGCTGCGAATCACCTTCCTTGTAATTGACAATGCTTGTTTTGTAAGCCTAAGGTTCTTAACCATCATGCTCACGTTTTCAGTTATTCTTTAGAGAGTTACTTTTCTTTATCGGGAAAACTGTAAGTTTTCTACTTCTTTCAATACTAAGATATACTAAGGTATGAGAAGTGTAGTATGGGTTTGTATGCTACTGATAATTTCATTAGTGGGACTAGCATATATAATCTCTTTAATCTCTCTCTCTCACAAGAGTACTGCCTCACATCTCTGGATGTAGCATCATCTTTGGGAACTCAATCCACTTGTGCATGTGCTCTTCAGCCTGAAAAATTTGAAGGTCTTCTCTAGCTCTTTGTAAAGATTGTTAGTTTATTGGAATCCGTCGGCCTTCATGAGGTGGAGCTTCTGTTTTTACACATTGTTCAGGGTAGTCAGGTATTTGTGGTAGGTAATGGAGGCATAAGTCCAATGGTGCTGGGCAGGGTAGGCAGCAATGTGTTGCTGATTCCTTTGGATGTGTAAGACCAATGGTGCTGGGCAGTGAAAGCAGTGATGTGTTGCTGATTCCTTTGGATGTGTAAGACCAATGGTGCTGGGCAGTGAAAGCAGTGATGTGTTGCTGATTCCTTTGGATGTGTAAGATTAATGGTGCTGGGCAGTAAAAGCAGTGATGTGTTGCTGATTCCTTTGGATATTTGCAATGTTTCAGACCTGTTTACGATTTTGGCGTACAATGTACGATTTTGAGGTGTATACATAATATTAATATATACTATATGTCTATTTTTTACTATTAAGATAATGTATTGAAGGATTTTGTGATGGTATTGTACGATTTTAAAAATTTGAGTGTTAACAGGTCTGATTTTTGGATGGGTCTCATTGGTGTTTTGCCTGATTCTATGGCTTTATGTGGATGAGGTGTCATAAAACATAAATAAGATAGCTAATAGATTTAATTTTATAATTGCCATTTAATAGTAAAATATAATTTATAAATTAGATTAAACACAATAAAATAATCAATTCATCGCTGTGAGGGTAGAGCCCATGTAGGGCTTTGGCCTGCCTCATTACTTCCTTTCACTCAGACCTAACTAATGCTTTTCTTTTCCATACTTGGATTTCCAGCTGTTGCAAATCTTTTTCCACATCATCCATCCATCTAAGCCTAGGTCTGCCTTTGAGCCGTTTTCCTTTGGAGTTTTGGTGATGCACCCTCTTCACTGCTCTGTCATTTGACATTCTCTCTAAGTGTCCTTCCCAGCAAAGTTTACTCTATTTTATTTCTGTTACTAGAGTGGGATCCTGATATAAGCTGTACAATTCATGGTTGGTTCATATTCTTCATCCATATTCATCCTTTGTTGGTCCGTATATTTTCCTGAGAACTTTCCTCTCCCATGTGTTGAATAGGTTTTTGGTCGTTTTGTTAGGATCCAAGTTTCACTTGCCAATGTTATAAATGGGCTGATTACAGTTTTATAAATAGTTTTATTTGTTTCTCTTGAATTGTTTTGTACTTTTGAGTATTTTCTGACTACTGATGTATGCCCTGTTTATGGCTGATATTCTTTTATTTCTGTTAGTAATTCGTTTCTTTCATTTAATAAAGATCCTAGGTATTTGAATTGATTTACTTTTCAAAAGTATGGTTTCTAATTTTAATGGCTTCATCTGTCTGTAGTTCTCTTATCATGGTCATGTATTTTGTTTTTTGGTTGTTAACTTCCTGCTTGTAGTGATGTGTCTTCTAATTCAATAAAGGACTTTATGTCTTAAATACTTTTCCCTAGCAGTGCTATGTCATCAGCATATGCAAGATACTGACGGGGTTAAATTATAATAATTGAAGTTGAAAGTCCTGCATTTGCACAAGCTCAGTCATCACAGTGGCCATGGTCTACTAGTAATATAGTTTATAAGAAGTCGAAATGAAGGTTGTCTCTATATAATTGCCAGCATCACTCTCTGAACTTATTTCAATAGCTTCCACATCAGCCTGTTTCTTACTTTGATCATATAAGCTGGCTAATAAACTTCTCTATATCATAGCCAGCACCACTCTCTGAACTTATTTCAATAGCTTCCACATCAGCATGTTTCTTACTTTGATCATCTAAGCTGGCTAGTCAACTTCTCAGAGAGCTTGGCAAATTATGTGGGATGTTCAACTGTCAAAGCTGTGTTGTAGTTTTTGTTGTTGAGTTGAGTGCTCATTTGACTTTTCTCAAAGATTGCAGTTGACTTCAACAAAAATGACTCGGATGTATTTGGTACCAATCACAATGCCTTCACGCCTGTTGCCGGAGGCAGTCTGTTGAGCACACCGGGAACTAAACTGCGAGCGGCGATGGCATCTGTCAGAAAAACACTTACTGAGTCTGGTCTATCGATTGGAAACACACCTGTATCTACTGAAAGGTAATTTGATATGCTGTAGGTCTAAAAATATCTCTTTGATTTGTCATTACTTAATTAATAGCAGCGGTTGAATTTTGCCATATAAATAACTATCTTTTAATTCATGGTTATAGGAGACTGAAAGCGGATCGATTGATTAAACACTTTCAGGAACGAAAAAAACAGTCTAAATCAGTTGTTGCTGCCGAACAATTGGTAAGTCCATCATCCATTAAACTTCAATATGTTGATTGTTATGTATTGAAATGTCGATCACTATTTCTTGCATTTCCGCTCAAGTGAATATGAAAATTAATATTTTACAAAGTAAATCTTCACCTTTTGCAACTGTATTTATTTAGCCACACTTAAATAACTACTATATTTGTCTGCAAATTATTCAATCAATTTTGGCTGGAAAATAAAAATTGCCTGCATTTTTCAGCCTGGACAGAATGTGGATCTGGATTTGAGTGCACTTCCTATCAAGGCTTTGTTTTCTCAGACTGATCCCAATGTTTTTGTCGATGATGATGATGATGATGAGAGGGAACCCTACTACTGGGATGATGAGTAATTTTGCCTTGAAAAAAATATATATTATTGCAACTTCTTATAAACTTATGTAGACAAATGGATCCTACTTTATGATTTTTATCAACATTTGTCAAAGCATGAAGTTGACAATTTGTGAAAACGTGATATTCATTAGTCACAAGAAGTTTAGCACAATTTCTGTTTTCTCTCCTGATATAACCTGGTATTTGGATATTGCACTGGTCAACTGACTGCAGGGCTGGACAAGACAATGAGCAATAAATATATTACAATCACCAGGTCCATTTTTGCCAAACGGTATGTCATGTGAATTAGGTGCAAAAAATGAAATTTTACCATCAGAAAATGAGCGGCTGGAAAAAACAATTCTTTATTTTATATTCAACAAATATCAATATCATTACAGATTTTGAAGAAGAAGAAAATAATTTACTTTGACATTTTAAAATGAAATTTAATGTTGAAATAAATTTGTGAATATTGTATATTTCTGTTACAAAATCTGTTCACAAAAGTGAATCTGTTAAGTTATGCTGAACTCGGGAAAGCCTGTAAGATTTTTGTGAGAATGTACTATTTTACATTAAAAATGATTTTTTAAAAATTTAATTTGAAGTACCTGTATATTGTATGGCACACTTCATTAAGTTTAGACATAATCCCTTTAAAGATTGCAATTTAATATTTTAAAAAATAGACACGGGGGAGGAAAGGTTGCATTGACTGAGAATCAATCATGGGCAAAAATAAATTCTACCAACAGACCACCTATTCCAATAAGTCTCATCTCAAATCAAAGTATAGATTTTTCTGGATATGCATGTCATTCTCTGCATTCATAGTACTTTTTTTTTTTTTTTTTTTTCAATTATAAATTACATTATATATTTTAAAATGGAAATTCTTTTTATACACAAACTTCTTATTACTATTCCAATAAGTCTCATCTCAAATCAAAGTATAGATTTTTCTGGATATGCATGTCATTCTCTGCATTCATAGTACTTTTTTTTTTTTTTTTTTACAATTATAAATTACATTATATATTTTAAAATGGAAATTCTTTTTATACACAAACTTCTTATTAAGGTTAAGTCTGAAATATAAAGTATAATAAAGTCTTTGAAAGTTTGTAATAAAAGGGAAAGGACTATTTCCGTTTTAACTATACAAATTATTTCTATTTTATTCTCTTAAGTTAGGTTTGAGCAGGGGGACATTTCTTTTTCCCTTTTAAAATATGCGATAGGCTAGGGCTATTAGCTACTGTTGTTTCTTATGGTTCATTTTGTATTTAAATGTCATTTTAAAGGCTTATCATGGGAAATTTTTTTTAAAAATAAGCTTTATTTTTATGTGTACAGAACACTCTTTATAATGACAGCATTTTGTCCTTGTAACACACCCCCACCCCCCTAAAAAAATTGTACTTGACATAAGCAGTGTTCATCTCTTTTTTTAGGCAACCGGGTATTTCCCAAATCAAATCATAGAGGCTTGAATTTTATGCAGGTTTCTTAACCCTCTTGAGACGGCAAGGCCGATCTATCGACCCAGAGGGTTGTGACGAAAAAGACAAAAGTCTGATCCATCGCCCAATAATAAAAGCCTCCAAATTGGCTGGCTGGCCTCTGTACCAGCCAATCGGATTTCTTCTCTCATTTCTTGTTCATCTCACCATTTTAATGGTGGCTTCTATTGATAGTTTAGAAGTTTTCTGTCATTTTATTTAATTTCTTTTATAGTTAGTTACCCCTTTATTTAATTTCTTTTATAGTTAGTTACCCCTTTAAATGCTTAAAAATATGTGACCTGGAAATAAGTCAAAAAGGAATATTTTATGCAGTTTTTTTTACATTGAATCCCATTCAAATATGGTTTAAGACTTATTTAGGCTTTAAAAATCTTAAAATTTAACAAAATTCTGCAATAACACGTTTATTCTAAGTTTTAAAAAAAAATTGTGTTCATAAATTATGCAAATCAGGATTTCTCATTTGCAAAAATGTTGAGATTTCATTCAGTTTGATTCATAAAGATAATATGAGTTCATTCAATTCCTAACAAGAATATATAGTTTTATATTTTTTAAGTAATTAGTGTATTTTTTATAAATGTTTTGGCGAAGTAAGTGCAGGGCTTGTGAAATGGGCTCCACCTTCTTGGCACCAACAGTCCAAAAGGTCTCCGTCTTAAGTGGGTTAATGTATTCCAGTATTTATTTATATCAAATTTCAGACATAAATCGGTCATGTAATACTTTTTGAAATAATAAAATTTTAAGTGACTTTTCTATAGAGTTAAATATTATGCACCAATAGTATTCAGATCTGATAACCTAGACATAGCTTGTGAAGGTTATATGGGGAAAAATATCAAATTGAAATTGTGGCTGGGTACATTTTGTGCAACTAATTGTCCAATAATAATCTGCTTTATATTATACAACTATTTGTAATGATATGTATGAGATATTTCAAGTCAGCCATGGGAATTTAAGGCTTTTGTTGATTTTAATATTACAATGTATTTTGTAAAGTGTGAATATCTTGTAGAGTTTACATGTAACTTATGTAAACAGTCTTGTTTTGTAGAGGATATTAATAAACAATGGATTTCATCATTTTTAAACTCCTCAGTTCTTTCTCAACCAAATTAAAACCTTTTATTTTCAACAAACTTATTAATAATTAAGTTGTCCAAATTTAAAATAAACTTGTTCATTAGACTTATACTATAATTAAACAACCCCTAAAAACAAAGTTTTTCGCATAAATCCTTTATAAAATGTAATATGGAAAAATGGGAGGTGGGGGGCTGAAAATTTGGCACAACAGGCAAAGCACTATAAGAAGCCCAATTAGTGCTCCTACCCCCAAGGCTCGCAAGCCCATATTTTTTCATGCCCCTAAACTATATTATTATTCCAATGACCCACCCGCTTTTAATCAGCCGATTAATTTCGACTTTTTAAAAAAATTGCAATTTTTTTAAAAAGAATAACATTTAACGCTGTTATCTGGAATTTCACTTTATCTCCCCATTGATAAACGGATTTTTGGGGGTTGGGGCTGAAAATTTGAAAGAATATGTTGTCATCTGCAATGAGTCTATGTGCCAAGTATCAGCTCGATAGTTTGATGGGAAGTGGCCAATTAGCAAACTGGTAGTGAAAAGTAATTATAAGTTGGTAATTACACGTTGAGGCTTATTAAAGAGTAGATCACCAAGAGTATTAGTTCATCAAATTTAATAATGGTTTCCAAATTTGTAAAATTATACACCATCATTTTGAGTGTAAGGAGTGACTAAGTAATTACACACTGTCATTGTGAGTGTAAGTAGTGAAAAAAGTAATTACACACTATCATTGTGAGTGTAAGTAGTGAAAAAAGTAATTACACACTCTCATGAGTGTAAGTAGTGACAAAGTAGTTATTTACTACCATTGTGAGTGTAGTGACAAAAGTAATTATTCACTATCAATAATTGTGAGTGTAGTGACAAAGTAATTACACACTGTCATTGTGAGTGTAAGAAGTGGCAAAGTAATTACACATCATTTTGAGTGTAGTGACAAACATAATTACAGTGTCATAGTGAGTGTAAGTAGATTGTCATTGTGAGTGTAGTGACAAAGTAATTAGACACTGTCATTCTGAGTGTAAGAAGGGACAAAAGTAATTATTCACTATAACTGACAGTGTAAGTAGTGACAAAAGTATTTATACAATTTCATTGTGATGGTAAGTAGTGACAAAGTAATTACACACTGTCATTGTGAGTGTAAGTAGTGACAAAGTTATGTTACACTGTCAATGTAAGTGTAAAGAATAGGAAAGCTAGACAAGGTAATTTATATCTGATAATTAAGAATAACAGTATGAAACATTGGATTCACTAAATGTATTTTTAATTTGAGTAATAGTGTCTACTCATCAAAGCTTGGTCTGTGCATTGTGAAAGTGAAATTCTTTGAAATACTATAGCAGTGACAGGCCTCCTAACAGTACATTTTTAAGGTTTAAATAGGAAAACACGGGCCTGGATTCTGCACATGCTTTTATTCACAATCATACCCCCAATTACCCTCAAGACATCACATTGCACCAAAGATTTCAACCAACTCCTATTCATAGCTTTGATTTTCTGATCATTCAGCAAAGACACATTTTTTCCAGGAATTTTCATTCATAAAAATAAAGTGACTCTTTTGCCTTGATTAGCTTTGCATAGGTTATAGAACAGTCATATTAAGGTGACAGTCAGTGACAGACTCACTTCATAACTAAGATTTTTTCCTTCTTAACATAGCCAAAAATTATTGTCAAATACAATTTTTTTAAATGTAAAACATTATGCATGGCCAACATACCAGTACACTTAAGTTTCACTTTTTGTGACCTTGACCTTACTATCTTAACCACATATCATTTCTCTAATTAAATAATTCATAAATGGTATTTTAAATCCTATACACACATACAATATGTTGTAAATATGTAAGTCATAAGGTATAAATAATTGCTTTCAATATCAAGAAGATCTGTAAAGCTTCTTTAATAATATCAAATGATAAGCACACTTTATATGCTTCTAATTTTTTTAAGTATGTTATTAAGAGCATATCTTAGAGACTTGGAAAAACCTAATGTCAGAGCTCCTTTCAAGATCTGAATAGCACTAGACTTTTTCACAATGTGCCTCAAGCTGTTTGCTACATGCTTTCCGCACTCGGAATCATAAGCGTGCCGCTTGATAATTTCTTCCAAATCAGGAAAAACTCCTATCTGTGAAGTTGACATATCTTAAAACTTTTTAACAGGTATTTATTTTCATTGAATATTAAGGAATTATTATGCAAACATTTAAGCTTAATTTTTAAATGTTCTTTAGGTTGTTAATAAATGACAGACTTGTTTAAGAACTTTATACATTGAAAAAAATCCTTTAGATATCATAAATTAGTGGGTTTTTTAACTTCTCACCACCATAAAGTATGTTAAAGGAGCAGTTTCCAAAACATTCAAACGTCTAAGATTTAAAAAAAAAAAAAGTTTTACCTGAAATTTGTGCATTAGTAGACCATAAAGCACTTGGCCAGGCAAACATTTTAAATGGTGATGTCTAGAATGAAAGGTCAAGGCCTGCTCAAACTGACCCTCATTTTGCCACCAGGTAACATGCTCTTCTTCTCTGAGGATTGGGCCGTACATTCGTCGGAAGAATGGAAGGCTGGGCTTCACAATGTTGGATATCTTTAAATAAACAAGGGACATAATGTCACATTCTGTTAGATAATGAAAAAGTTATATCAACCCACTACAGGTTTAGACTGGTAAAATTTTCAATATAATAAAATTTTCAAGCAAGCAGATCAAGGCTAGATAGTTTTGATGGCAGATAAATCGATGGCTCAGACAGCTCTCAAAAGCTCCCACATTTTAAAAATGTATAATTGAGATTTCTTATTTTAAGAGAGAATTGTCATACTTTGTAAAAAATAAAAACAATTATTGAGGACATAGCCTAAAAAATTCAAATACTTAAAGAATAACTAGAGAACAGGCCTGATTGTTATCTTCAGCTATTCCCATTCTAAAATCTCCAGCATATGAAAGACTTGTAATGGTTGTGTATAATTGTTCTTCTGTGAACATATCGGGCAGAAGAAGCAGTGCTGCATGGACTGCACTTCTCAGGTTCACCTGTATATAATGATAATTATTATTTCAGGATAATGCCTAAATTTGAAATCAAATGAAATAAATCTGCTTATAAACAATCTTGATGATTGAACAGCTGTGATATTATATGTTCAAGTATGCATTTGATTAGAAATGTATTAAAAACGTTTAAAAATTGGCTACATTTAAGATTGGCTGGTTGTCTTGTACTTGTATGGTTCATATAACTCAAGAAATAGCTGGTCAAGGAAGAAAAGGTTATATATAAGACTTTGCCCTTTTGACATGTCATTGGTATGAAAGAAAAATGAAGTAGAATTAAATGTAATGCATCAGTGAAATACAGAGAAAATTAATTGCAAATTTCAACAAGTTGGTAAGAAAATTCAAGGCAATCATTAACATAAAACGTCTGAGTAGTCATGATTTTGAAGCCACTGTCTGAATCCAACATCAGTTGGAATAAGTCTGGCTACTTTTACTTTAAGTTTCATATTACCCAGAGTTTAAATGTCTACAACAAAAAAATTAAAATAATATATTTTTGTACAGGAAAATCTTGATATATAATAATTATAATACTGGTATGCATATTATAATAAAGGCGCAAAGTATAAATATATACTCATCTTATTTAACTGCAATGACAATAATTTTACAATATACATTTTTTTAAAATTATTGATAATTTAATAACATTAAAACAAAAAAAATTAATTTAAACAAAAAATCTACTTTCATTTTGCAACAGTATACAACAAACAACCTACTTTCATAGCTGTTATGAGATCCTCATTTGTGGGAAGAATAATTAAGCTAACAGGTTTGTGCAATCGACCACTAATATAGAGTGACTCCCAGTCGAGTAGATCAGTGATGAGCCTTGCTGTACTGATTACACCGTACTTTATGAGGTGGCCATGCATAGGCACTAAGGCATTGAAGTAAATACCCGCGCCGTATCTATAATTAAAATAATTCAATTTGAACTCTACAGTTTTAATAAAAACTGAATTGTAAAAATTAATTAAAAACTGAATTTAACTATTGGGAATCAACCTCATTTCATTTAAAACAAATTCTTGTTAACCAAGTTGTAGTAGACCTATATGTAAGGCTTCAAGTCAAGCAATGTTTAAGCATAACACCACAAATTATAGTTTGAGCATAGTCTGCTCCAAATCTTGTTTTACAAATATAAACTTTTGTTTTCCCTACGCATTTACTAAGACATTGCTGAATTTTTAAGTAATTAATAAAAGAAAATCTCTTTCTAAACTTGAAGGCTATTAAACTAATCCATAAACCAACCTTTCCTGAATCCTTGCTACAGTGTGTGGTCCAAATTTTTTCAGGAATGAGTAATGGTGTGGATGCCTTTCCAAGTTTTGACTGTGCCATTTCTTTGGTTTGTCAACTACAAATATAAAATCGAGCATGTTTCCAGTCTCTTGTAAGCTATATGGCTGGAAAACACCAGAACCATAAGCGAATGCCATCTGTATGCCCTCAGGGAAATCCTCAACTATGTTATTGTAAAGAACCTTTTGTGTCATTTTCCCAGTACAAAGACTTAACTCTTTCAAAGAATTACTAGTACATGTACTAGTATCATTTGTTTTTTTTAGAATAGGCTGCTGATTAAGAGATTTGTGCTCTGTTTGTGGGTGAATGTTCAAAACCAAGCCTTTGGTTATACATATATATCTTAAATGAGTTGATTTATGGATACATGAAAAATCATGCAGCTTAGATGAATCCAAAATGCCTTGGCTTAAGTTTCTGAATTTTGACAATGGTGAAGAGTGACAGTTGTGAGATATCTGATTTTGTACATATCTGATGATTACTGATTTTGAGCCCATTGCACAATCAAAAAAGCAAACAAGCCAATATAAGTTTAAAAGTTTATAAAACCCTTTTCAAAAAAGAACAATTTGACTGTAAAGTTAATCAATATAGGCCTACAAAATAAATACAAAATGTCAATGTTGTTTCTGGATTGTTGGCAAAATATTTATGCAGTTGATAAAGTCAATTCCATTTCATTGATATTTCAAAAAGCTTTTAGCATTGTGATTGTGGTAAGACCTTGTATTTTTAAAGCACCTTGACATTTGATTAGTTCTTGATTTTTTATATGCTAGTATAATTATTGTTCTTTCTTCATTAAGTTTATTCTGCCTTTGTTATATCAGCAGATGTAAATATTTAATTTGAAGCATCAGATCCTTCTAAGTAGTAGCCTTTGAATGATCTTTTTAGAATATGTTAATGATATCTGGGGAAGAAAAATGTACAAGATTTATCAATTTGAATTTCTATAAGTTGCTAAAAAATAATATTAATAATATCATTAGAACTGATCCATAAATGGAAATCTCATCTAAACTTCTCACAGGAGAGCCTTGGCTGCTGGTTTTCTGTGATATACAAAGGTGAAGAAAAAATCTGAATTTAAAAAAAAAAATAATTAATCTCGACGGCTGATCAGGAGTATGGTACCCACCATCCATGACGTCATTTGCGTGTTTATTATAGTTGCAGTGAATTAGGGTTCAGGTTAGGCATAGGGATCGATTTAGGGTTCAGGTTAGGCATAGGGATCGATTTAGGGATAACCGGTTTAGTGACAATATTAACTGGTTGTGTCAACCAAGATGGCGGCCATCGCGGATACTATTCTCCTGATTTACCATGCTTTTTTATCTAGAGTCTAGAGTATTACTACTGTGCTCACTCGCATCAAAATAAAAAGATCAAAAGTGGCATACTACGTGTCATAAGTAAAATATAACTAATCAATTCTACCCATTGCTCAATCATATTAATTAATTAAGATTAAGAGAAAAGCATTCTATAAAAAAGTATTTAATAATGAGTAATTAAAACAGGCCTTCGACTTCGAACGATCAACAACGTCTTAATTTTGAAATGACTACAACTTGAAACTACCTACTTCCGGTCTCTTATTCAGCGCCATAACAATAAATTTTCGAAGTGGCTATTCGTACCTGGCAACCGGGTTCCAGAAGTCAGAGGTTGGGGTTAAAAAACTATTTAAAATAGTATTATTTGGTTTGTAAGACAAAATGAGGTATCAAATGAAAGATAATTGAATGGATTATGTTTGTAAACTTACTTATTCAGTTTAAATAAAATAAACTACCACAAATTAAATCCGAATAGCATTTAGTAAAAATGGCCCCGGACATGCTCTTGTTCCATTTAAATTTATTCTCATATATTACTATGTCCCGCACCACTCCCCTCGCCTAACCTAAGTACATGTATTTAAAATACTATCGGTATTTATTTTCGATTTTATCATTCTAAAGTGGAGCGTTGAACTAATTGGGGCTAGGATGGTTTGGAATAATTTGGGTATTTTTTGGATTAATCAAACACTCCCACGGGAAGTTTGTGTTTTAAGAAGAAGGTGAAGTGAAGAATACAATATATTTTTACGTTAAGTTTAATAGGCCTAGGCATAACATAAAGAAAATGGAGATAATATGTATTAAGTATTAGGCCTAATCATTGACTGTTTATCGAATGAAATGGTCTCTGTTTTAAGATTTTGTTTACGGGTGCACATGGTAGGCTATGGGTCTCGACAAACGTCTATTGTAGCATAAGCAATTCTACGACAGTAATACAATCCAATCAATGAGTAGATCAAATATAAAGTGATAAAGCTATGGAGACTTTGCGTGCCCGTTAGAGTTAGACCTCTTTTTAAAAAGAAAAAATGGAGACCATCATCAAAATGTGTGCCATCATAGGCGTTACGCAAACCTATGTAAGTGTGGGGAAGCACAATCGTGAATATATATAGTACTTGAGAGGAGGTATAGCAAATAGCAATAAAATATAAATGCACTCGATATTAATTGCCACCTGGGATGGACCAAGATTTTTACCACACCCCTCCCAAGAAAAATAAATATCTTTAGCCTAGGCGGTCGAAATTGCTGCCCCTCAATTTAAAGATTAAAGGGCCGCCCGTGACGTAACCGCCCCCTCCGCACCCCTTCCTATGCAATTGGTTCCCATCATGGGCGCCCGCAAGGGGGGGGGGCACTCACCTGGATTGATTGGATAAAAAAAATTTAGACAAAAATAGACAATTTTTTGTATAAAAGTAAAGAGAAAATAAAGAGAAAGTAACTAAGCTGATGTCCTGTCAGTTCGTTCACTATACAAATACGCTACAGTAAATTAAAACTACATTAAAACATTACTAAAAAATTTTTCCCCCCCCCCCTAGAATGTTACGCGTTTTTTTTCCCCCCCCCCTAAAAAGTTTTCTGCGGGCGCCCATGGTTCCCATGCTTTATTACGGGTGTGGTGGTTCGGAATCGGAGAGGGGATGTTGAGTAGTGTATAAAAGTATAAGGTACTCGCAAATCATTGAGAACTATTTGCACTCATTGCACTAAAAAAACACACAAAAACTACGCGAATCATGATGGAAGGCATTTTAACTGCAATCTTATCACTAAAAATGAACACTTGTATATATATCAATGTGTGCTCGGATGTTTCATTAATCCTGAATTTTACCTCTTCCCCCATCATCCTTAAGCACCATACCTCACCCCTCTGGTCCTCACCCTCCACACCACATCCCACCCCTCTGGTCCTCACCATTTTCACCATATCACAGCCCTCTGGTCTTCACCATCCGCACCTTACTGCACCCTCTGGTCCTCACCACCTACACCACATCCCACCCCTCTGGTCTTCACCATCTGCACCTTACTGCACCCTCTGGTCCTCACCACCTACACCACATCCCACCCCTCTGGTCATCACCATCTGCACCACATCCCACCCCTCTGGTCCTCACCATCTGCACCGCATCCCACCCCTCTGGTCCTCACCGTCTGCACCACACCGCACCCCTCTGGTCCTCACCGTCTGCACCATACCGCACCCCTCTGGTCCTCACTATCTGCACCATACCGCACCCTCTGGTCCTCACCATCTGCACCACTCCACACCCCTCTGTTCCTCACCGTCTGCACCATATCGCACCCCTCTGTTCCTCAACGTCTGCACCATACCGCACCCCCCTGGTCCTCACCGTCTGCACCATAATGTTTTCATTATCATAAAGAGTCATTCATCATCCACTCTTACCCACCGACAACATTCCCCCCCCCCCCCCCAACCCACCCCCAAAAACCCCCCTGGTCCTCACCGTCTGCACCATAATGTTTTCATTATCATAAAGAGTCATTCATCCTCCACTCTTACCCACCGACAACCTTCCCCCCCCCCCCGCAATCCATCCAGAAAAACCATCAACCCCTTAAAACTCACACGCCACCTCTCCCCTACCAACAGTTCTCACTCGCGATCACTACCGCCCCATACAGCCAGTGGCGTAGTTAAGGTTAGTCTCAGTCACCGAGGCGGCTAATATTTTTTGCCGTCCCCTCCCCACCCTTCTACCCAGTCCCTACAAGCATGCATTACATCCCCAGCTTCTCTTAAAGGACGTCAACAATTATAGGAAGTGGACATATTATAATAAAGGGAGGTCAATGTAATCTTATAATTCCAGAGTGCATGTTGTCAGTTCAAATTGCGCACCGTGCTGTGCTCTATTTTATTTAATTTATGTAGGCATTTTTTTATAGCGCTTACCTTACAGCTCTAAGCGCTTTACAATTATTAAAAATATGTAAACTATTTAAACTGCTAATTCACTGCTTTCCCCGCCCTACGCACCAAATGTACACAAAAGAACATATATTATTATATAAGCAATACAACTAAGCCTGGGTGGATATATGGAGCGCCATCTCGAGTTATAATTATAAATTATGCACATTGACATCTTTTCGTAGTTTACATGCGCAGCGTGACTGCGTTGCCCCATACTAGTAGTATAATAATATACTAACACTTAAGGGCAGGGGTGGGCAAACTGCGGCCCGGCAACTGATGTTATGCGGTCCCCAAGGGCATTTAGAAATTTAAAAAATTACTTTGTTATTAAGTTATCTTGCTGAATTTTACAGAATTTCATGTACCGTTATGATTGTTTTAACACTTTTTATAAAATTTCTTTCCAATTTTCTATTTTTGTTAACAATCATTGGCCTTCGTAATGTAATGTTAATATGGCAAAATATATATGCGGCCCTCCAATAGCTTTTCATTTGTCAATGTGGCCCTACGTACACAAAGTTTACCAACCCCTGTTTAAAGCCATAGCCCGGGCAACAACTAGTCTAATAACTATTTCTGTATTCTCCATTCTTTTTATACACCACATCACATGACCACTCACTCCAGTTTTATCCAACCAATATTCACACATTTAAGCTTAGCCATTCATGTTAAAAGAACTTCAAATATTTATGTTAATATTTAAGCCCTATTGTCAGCATTCTCATAACGCCAATCTTAACGTTTTTAGCAATATTCCCATCTATTTAAAATGGTCGTTAAAAATGCTAAATTTGTTTCGCTCTCACTTTTCGGTTATGTTTTTTTTTTAAATTTAGGAAAGGTAAGGGAGACTACTCCCATCGATCTTTACAAGACGTTAATTTTTGCACCAACATTATTTAAGCTTAAATAAAGCTAAATCTTGGTAAAAATATAAACAAAAACAAACTTAGAACTGTGTTAACAGCAGGATATTAAGAATAAGTTCATGCGTTGACGTAATATTATTGTTTTTGGTTGGTCTACACGCCTATTCAATAAAATTAATGAGTACGGTAGGTTAGCTACACTTTGGCCCTTGGCCTTTGGCTTTGGCTTTGACTTTGACTTTGGACACTTTGGTCTTTGGTGTGACTTTGTAATTCATAAATTAAAATATAATACTATAAATTCTAATACTAATACAGTCAGTAATAATAGTATTACAATACAGTAATGACAGTATAATAGTATAGTACTATAGTATTAGAATTAAATAGTAATTTTTCACTTGTTGAAAATCCACTGCATGGCCATGTCTTGCACACAAATCATCAAATGTGACACATTTGACACATGCTGCTTAGGTCTAGCCTAAGTTGTAGACCCCTGGCCCTGGTCCAGACGATATGGAGAGATCTTCCATTATTCATAATTGAGGTGTTCTAGTTCTAGTGAAGTTTTTAAAAACTTCAATACATGGACCACAGCAGTAATCATACATTTTTTTCATAAATCAATAACCCAAATATTTTATCGACTGTCGGAAGGGAAGATAGCACATTAATTAATTAAAAATTCTAAAATGAGATCACTGGTTAATAATAGCCCTTAATTTGTTAACTAAAATATATAAAATAAGATGTTACTATTATCCGTTTTTAAAAATTAACAAGCATCCAGATGATATAGAATATAGAAAATCTGAAAAAAGTGCCTCTTAAATTAAATGAATAAATATAGGCCAACACATCTCTTTATATTCTGAAAATGTCGCCATTTATTTAAAATGCTACTAGCAGCTGGTAACCCACTCCCTAACTGGCTATTATCAGTATATAATTCTGCTGGTACTTGTATTTGTACTTAATATTATTGAGAAAAACATGGTCAAGTAGCCTTTATAATATAATAATTTGAGTCAACGTTTTTGCATGTACTGCACAATCTAATTAAAGTCATACACAAATAATGTATTAAGGTAAAAATGTAAACATTTTAAGCCCTTGTTAAAAAAGGTGAACCATATGACATATTTTGCATATACTGTTATTTTCTTTTAAAGACTCAAACAAAAACATAAGGATCTTTACGCCATATCAAGTCTTATAACTATGTCACAAAGAAGAAAGAAAAAAAAGGATATTAGTTCTAGCACAATTAGAGTCTTGCAAAGTTGCATGCATCATACCTGTTGTGAAATTACTCTTATAGTAGAGGTGTAAGAACAACTCTCTGATGAGTGTTACACCTGCTTGTGTCTAAGGGTATTAGATTATGTCGTTTTCACACACCAAGGGCCATAATAACATACCCATTTTTACCTTAACTACCAAAAACTTTATATTATGAACAATGGCTTCCCGTATAGCCTATGTATCATCATAAAGGTTGCTTTGCTTTATATCTCAATTGTATAAACTCAATCCTTTCACACTTAACTTATCGGTCACTCAACTTATCGGTCACTCGTGCTGATCATCTAGCTTGAACATCTGACTTGATCAGTCACTAGTAGTATGTGGAGGTGGCTCCTCCGATTCTTCACTCCGTGGCTTTTCAGGGCGATCACATAAGTGGGCTGATAGAGCGGCAAACTATGAGCAGCTCCAATGATCTGGTTAGATCTTGCACAATAGTGAGATCACTTCAACGTTGAAGTGGATTTTCGGGTCCTGTCCTTCATGGCTTCTTGGGGCGTTCACGCAAGGGGACGAACAGCAATGCGATGCAGTAGAATTACTTCAAGGTTGGAAGTGAATTCTTTAATTCTTTAACTCGTGACTTTTCAGGTGGATAATACCAGTCACAACTGTACCTTCTCGGATTACTCTTCCCCAGTACGCTGTGGTGGGTGTATGTAAGACTTCTCTTTGGGAGTAAAGTCCATCAGCACGCAGTCCTTTGGTTGCAGGCGATGAATTGGTCTTTCAGATGTGGCTCCTGGGCGGGGTTCATAGACTCAGGCCTCAGTAAACCGATTCCTCAATTCAGCTGTTTAGGTGCGGTTGACTATACTGCAATAGTACGGCGATCTAGCAACCAGGCTATATGTGAATGATGATGCCTCTCCAACGGCAAAGAATTCAGATCGAGGCGTCAAAGGAGATATAATTTTTACAGTGTTAATATCCATTCTGGATAGCCTTATTCATCTTCACCATTGTCGGCACAAGTATGGACGGCTAGCATTGACACATGGCAATGAATCTTTTCATACATAATTATACAATAAATTAATAATATATAGGATGGATTAATATGATATATCCAATCAACTGTAATGGATAACATAATGGCTAATAACTATCTAGTGGCCACATCACCATCCATACAATGGGATGAAGTCTAGATAATCAAAACTCAAAATGGCCGACACATGTCCTATGATGAAGGCACGTGTCAAACATTGAGAAAATATAAAGTACAAATGAATTAATTAAATTCATTCCGATCAGAAATTCATTCTAATCAGAATGATAATACATACATTAAAAATTAAATGGTTGACCAACTATGTACATGGCAATACAAATATTTGTACAACTCACTAAGTCTAGAAAAAGCCGGCTTTACGGTGCTCTTAGTTGGCTGCTGACCTAAGAGTCGATGTGGAAAAGAAAGATTTTAGTTATGCAACGGCCTTTTATAATGATTCTATTCTAATTGATTATTGGACAATCACTACCGTGTGATACAATCACTAATATGTGATGTCCAAGTCCAATGATCTTAATAATTTGATGCGTGATGTAATCCCTCATCCATTGGGCAGTTTGTTTTCTTGGTTCGATTCTTGGTTCAGCACTTGAATACTTAACAGTTCATTGACTTTTCACACGAGGTAGACAGTGATCAGGGGAAATAACTCGTCCTGACCTTGAAGGGGGGGGGGGGGGGGGGGTTTCTAAGTAGGTTGTCGTGAGTAAATGGAAATTTTCATGGCGGCTCCATTTCGTCACAATACCTACTTGGGTTCATATTTGGTACAATTTCATAAAGACATCCAAGATTTATTAAAACCAAATCAATTTGAATTTAACATCTTGAAAGTATTTTTTATAGACAGATTAGCTTTTAATCAGCCGGAAAAGCCTATTGTCTGCCAGTAAATCATGCAAAACTACAAACTTTTTCATCCGGCAATATAAAATTAGATTTAAATTAAAATCAGTTCCAACCCTAAAACAATCCAGCTATTAGGACACATAACCTATTGCTTTTTTTTTTTTTTTTTAAATAAACTTTATTTTACATTTCAGAATGAATTTTACTCACGAATTTAAATAAGCAGTGAAAATGCCTAAATGCAAGCAAGTTGCCGGAAAGAAAATTGCAAAAATTAAAAGGCAATCCAGTGCCACACCAAAATTATTTAGCATATTTTTTTTTTTTTTTTTTTTTAAATAAACTTTATTTTACATTTCAGAATGAATATTACTCACGAATTTAAATAAGCAGTGAAAATGCCTAAATGCAAGCAAGTTGCCGGAAAGAAAATTGCAAAAATTAAAAGGCAATCCAGTGCCACACCAAAATTATTTAGCGCTACTCACGAATCAACTTCCACTACCAGAAGTTATTTAGAAACTGATCTAAATTTAGAAGGAGCAAGAGCAGGTAAATTAGCATCGTAAATGTTTATTAAGAATTTTGTGGTTTTATTTCTTGTGAGCGAGGGATATTATGCACTGTTGATACCTTTTTACAATTTTTCCTTGCCATTCCCATCCACTTACACTCTCTGTTAACGTCCCTTTTCTATGTGTACTTCTCTGTGATTAGGTATTGCCAGGTTTACATTTTTTATGTAATGACCGAGTATTGCCAGGTTTACATATTTTACATAAGCTTCACTGTTTTTCATGTAAACTTCACTGTTTTTTATGCAAGCTTCACCATTTTTATGGTACTTTAAAAGATTTCTCATATTTTAAATTTATCATAGAACATCTTTATTTTTGCCTGAAAACAACCCCCCCCCCCCAACTTTGGCAAACCTATTGTGCCTGTTATAAAATGACAGAGTTTTTTATGTAAACATTACTTTTTTTTTTTCAAGCTTTCCCATTTTTATTGTAATTTAAAAGATTTTTTATTATTTAAATTTTTCATAGAACATCTTTATTTTTTCCTGAAAAAAACCCCCCCCCCCCCAACTTTGGCAAACCTATTGTGCCTGTTATAAAATGACAGTAAAGATGAAAAAGCCTTAATTGCAAGCAAGTGCTTTTGTGTTGACTTTGGTCAAGTTGTGATCAAAATTTTCTTGACCATCATTATGAAAAAAAATTAAAATGGGTTGTTCCGTGAGGATTGGATCATGTTTTGTTTTAGAAACATAATCACATAGTGAGAAGGATCTGCATTCCTTCTGAAATAATTCTGTCTCTGCTGTGTATATTTCATTTTTATAGACCATATGGATAGTAGAAACACAAAATATACTGGGAGACAGTTGCAGTAGGCCTGGCAAGTGTTGGAGGCATTAGTATTACTTGGGAGACAGAATAGGTGCAGTAGGCCTGGCAAGTGTTGGAGGCATTAGTATTATTTGGGAGACAGAATAGGTGCAGTAGGTCTGGCAAATGTTGGAGGCATTAGTATTAGTTGGGAGACAGAATAGGTGCAGTAGGTCTGGCAAATGTTGGAGGCATTCTTCTTCCTACAGGCTTAACTAGATTTTGGCATGTCACACCATTACTACTTATCCATCAGCCATGAGCCATGGTTAAAACAAGTGCTTGAACAAAATGTGTTATAAAACATCAAAATAATGAAACATCATTTTCCAAGAAAACAAAACAATGCAATCTCTATCTTTCTATTCTTTATTTGTTTGTTTAGATCAGTTTGAATCTGATATCCCCGGGTATTACTATGATAAAGAAAAGAAGAACTATTTCAAGATCCTTCCCAACACCATGAGTTCTATCAGCTCGTTTGTCACAAAGGAAACCGTAAGGAAACAGGAGGCAGAGAAGCAACGTTTGTCTGACGTACAGAGACTGGCAGGCAGAGGCCATCGGGGGTCAAGCTCCATGCATACACTAGTGTTGAAAGAAAAATCAAATAATCATCTGGTCAATGTCTTGAAGAGTGTACAGTGTGGTCAATTCACATGTGAGAATCTCTCGACATATGTAATTAGACAGATGTGTTATAATTTGCAGCCTGTTGTTGAATGGACAAATTATTGCCCATCTCAGCCTAGGTAAATATTTTATCAAATTATTAAATTAGTTATTGTTATTTTGGAAGATCAGGAAAACTCAATAATTATCTTGCTGATAACTTAGCAGAAGGAGCACACAGAAAGCTCCTTGCTTCAATAATAAAAAAAATTAATTGGGTCTTCCCTTACATTCCCTACTCTCTCTATTTACCTATTCGTTATAACTTATTGATTAAATTTGTCTTGGATTAGTTCAATGTAAGGGCATATTCATGTTGTTTTATCTTCAAGCCTAAATCTAGATGAGATTCAGAAGCTTGAGCTAAGTTCTAAGAAAGACAAACTGGTCAGCGTAACATCAGTGAAGTCATGCATAGCCCAGTGTATTCAACTGATGAATGTTAAGGAAGAGATGTGTAGGAGCTATGGAGGAGACAAGAAACGGACACTTGTGAGTGTTAAACCATCAGATGTTGTAGTTGGACCAATCTATAAGAAGATCAGCAGTCTGTGTTGGGCTCAGTTGCCGAGCTTGCCAGGGCAGCATACCATCCTCTATACAACAGTGTGCCCGATAGGCTATATGCCCAGTATTATTTATCTCTGTAACCTGGACGCTGCTACAAGTGAATCCGTAAGTACAAGTGCAAGCATAAGCTCTTGATTCACATGGGGTGGAAGTGAAAAAAATGTCTGTTAAAAGTGGGACAGGACAATAGCTTCAAAATAATTAGTAAAGGCTTTAATTTAGCATTGCATTTGTTTTATGATAGTGCATAATTCATTAATATTTCAGCATTGCTAGATAACAAATGATTACAGTGACTCATTTATTAAAAGCTCATTCACTAATCCATTTTAATCTAGTACCTAAAATTACTCTAATACTTGATACATGGTTAAAAATATTGTGTAAACAACCTTTTTCTCCCCCACTCTCACATGTTGTCATGGACTTCTTTTACTCATTATGTGCAGTAAAATTTTAGCATTGTACTAGTTTGTTTAGGAATAGAATAACAAAATATTTTGTGCAAATGATCAACTCTTTTCGTTACTGCAAGTCAGAAGGATTTTTTTCCCCCTACAGATGACTGTTTTTGAGTTAAACCTGGGTTTTAAGATAGTGTGGTCAACAGCATGGAACCGTCACCAGTCCAGGTTTAGTGTTGGCTCAGAGCGCAAGTGTCATCTCATCGATGTGGCTACAAGACGAAGATGGACCTATAACACTTACAACAGTGATCCACTTGCTCAAATGTTTTCACCCACTGTAGGTTATAAAACATTTTCCACTAATTATACCTTATTAACATTTTAAGGCCAAACTTATTTTATCACTAGTAGATGAGAAGCTTGCGTTCTTGTGATTTAAAGAAGATTTGCTTAACTATACTGTGATAAATCCATTTTTATCATTGAAGGCATTGTTGAAGTGATGGCTTCATCCGCCAAAAAAGGATATTAGTTTGAGAAATGGTACCAAGAGTTTTAGCTGCACAATGAAATATTTTTTATATTCTTCGCTGTGGATGGTGGTTAAGTAGCTCCTTGTATAGTGAGCTGTCCAGCTTTGCTCGAGCAAAAACATAAATTAAAATTATGAGCAATGACATTGTTGCTAAGAAACTTTAAAAAGGCTCTACAAAAACCTTTATCAAGCCCATGCATCTATTGCATTTACAATACTTGATCAGAAAAAAAGATAGCTATCTAAAAGTCTGGCTAAATAATTATCAAACTTAAACTTGGAAAAAAAGCTAAGGTTTAGCTTGATCAAATTGTTCAGTTTATTCATGAATTAATTAACGTAAAAAAAGGGTTAATTTGCATTTTGATTAAATGTTCCCATGTATGTTTCACTTTGACATTTAGCCATGTTGTATCTAACATACGGGGTTGTGTAACTTTTCATAGTAACATGATGTAAGACAGGGGCGAGCTCAGGGTGAGTTCATGGTCCCAAGGGGGCGGTGACCGTAAAAAGTTTGAGAACCCCTGGTCTAATACATGGCTCTCGAAACAGGCATACCCCAACTAAAAAACACTTTTTTTGTATATTTTTACATATCTACAGTACCCAAAAGTTACAGTTATAACTTTGAAGTTATGGTGTTGTTCTTACTTAAAACTTATGTTGTATATTGAAATAAGTTTTAAGCATTTTAAATTTATTTTTAATTTCACATTGTTTTGATAGGCTGAGGGCATTTATAAAGTCATATTTAATAGTGTCAAAACACATTGTTTTGATAGAGTGAAGGCACTTGTAAATTCAGTTTTAATAGTGTCAAAACATATGCATCCATTCAAATACATGCACAAGGGGGAAAAAATACAGTGATTCAATTTTTGGACAATGGTTAATAAACTGAACCTCTTCAACCAGAAGTCTAATTGCAGATGTGCCAGTATATACTTTATGGGGTACGGCCGGGAAAAATATATTTTCGGAGAGAAAAGAGCAAATGAATTTGTTCATATCATTTTCGCTTTCATAACAATTGTGGTTGTCAAGGTCTTTGGAATATGATACCGTGAATTGAGAGGAAAGAAATTATTCAGAGTAAAAGTATCAATTTTATTTTAAAAACTATATTATTGAGTCTGTTTTAAATAGCCCTACTCAACTTACTGAAATAGAGTTTAGAAACAACCAAATGATTTTGGAACCAAACCAAATTGGAAAAAGTAAGTAGTAAGCTTCTCTGATTTACAAAAACTTGGACATACCCTGGTACCCTATAGTAGATACAAACTCTAAAATTAAATGCTAACACTTGGCAAAAGAATAAAATAGGAGATGAAGAATAATTCCATTAAAACTCCATCAATGCTTTTCAAATCTTATTTCTTTGTGCACCAGCTCTACTTTTGGATGGTCACCCAAAATGTACATATATATTTATAGAACCTTTTTAATGAAAACAATAGGAAAATATAATATTCAGGTAAAACGTTTTTGGTCAGACTTGTTTTTTTCCCCCCTCATTCTGTGAATGTTCTTGTCAGAACTGTAATGTCATGTACAATGGAACCCGAGCTGGGCTGATTCTGACACATGATGTTAGGTCTCAAGGTCGGCCACAAGCTGAGATGAGGCAGCAACATGGAGTTGGGTGTTTGCGACAGTTGCGAGATGACAACTATATCCTGGCTAGCGACTTCTCAGCTACTGTATGTTTTGGTTTTTGCTGTAGTTTTTTGCTGTGTTTTTAGTTTTTAGACCTATCTTAGATACTGTCATTAGCTGAAAACAGAGGTCAGAACAATTATTTATGACTTATGTGTCCGATACATCGACATCACTCACAAGTTGTTATATCCACTAGGGATTAAATAAACTGAAGAATGACTTCAGATAAAAACACATTTTGGATATTTATCAATATCAAAACCAGTGTCACACAGTTATTGCATTTTAAAAGTATGTTGTTGTTTTTTAACTATATATTGTAATGAGTGCACTGGACTTTCAAAACACATTGAGATATAGAAATCCCCTTTTTAATTTGCCCAACAGATCTGCACATGGGATCAGCGCATGCGTAAAATTGTGATCAAATACAAAGGCCTGGTCAACTCTCATTACCAGTTGCCATTTCACATTGATGAGACAGAGACAGTTATTTGTAGCAGTAAATATTGCTCCAATTTTTCATGTCATTTGTTTTCTCCAATGTTGTCATCTTATATTGCTCCAATGTTGTCATCTTATATTGCTCCAATGTTGTCATATAATTTTGTTTGCCTGCAATGTTGTAAGCAGTAATTTTTTTAAAATGTCAATTTAAATTAACTTTGCAGAATTATAGCATTTTATTTGATGCTTATATTTAGAAGTTTTTTTTTTTAATGGGCCAAAATGAGAGATTATTTAATTTCACACAAAAAATGCATTACAAATTACTTATTTAAAAAAATTAATATTAATAATATTATGTTTGGAAAGCAAATGAATCTTTGAATAAGTTAAATAGTTTTATCAATTGCTATTGTGGTTAATACGATTTCACAATAGCTTGAATTAAAATTATCACATCTTTATATATTTTATTTCCTCCTACAGCTGGGTCTGACAGTTACACCAAAATCTGGGACTGCCGAAGTGGTGAGATGTTACAAAGTCTGCCCCCACCTTATCCTGTTTCTATTGACAGTTTTCCAATCACCATGTACTCACAGCAGTGGGGGAACATACCGGGAAACACTGGGCTTATTATGGCAATGAATAACAAATTTAAAATCTATTCTTAAATTTAACAGATTATTTTAAAATGATCTCTATACATGTCAATGGTTTGTAAAAAATGTTTATTAAATGTTAAATTTAAGTACAAAATGACATATCTTTCATTTAAAATAACAACTATTTTCAATAGAAATTTTTGTGATCATGTCATATAAAATAGACAGACAACTCTCAAAACAAAATTTTAAGTTCACCTCCCTTGAAATAAATGTTACGTCATAAAAAAACTGACCTCTTTACATAAATATCTCAAGTACAAGCATAAAATATTTTATATTCTGTTTCATAAATAAATAATGAGGTCACAGATTTCAGGTATTGCAAAATATCAAATTAATATTTAAACAATTACATGCTCAAGGAAATGCTCAGAAAATGTAATACAATTTTGAAATAAATAATTTAAGGCATTTTATAATAATTTTTTGAACAGAAAACATGTCAAGGAAATCTATTTGTGACACTTGAAATGATTTGTACAAATTAAATTTGAACTTCAAGTTCTAAAGTAGGTACATTTTAAGAATTAATATATTCTGGTTGCATTTCATAAGCAGTGGCACTATTACTATTATATATGTTTAATAATCATACAATATTTTCATAAAAGGTTCTTAGCCTTTATGGAAAAAAACTGACACATTAAGGAATTCATAAATCTATGGACCCTGATGGGTTAGTGTTAAGTACACCTGGTCAATGAAAGCCTTGACATATACTTTGTGACCCCAGCATTTGACACATGTAGAATATAATTTTTCTGCTAACAAAGCGTAGGATGTGGTAAATACAAATTGTAAATATAGTTTTTATAATGAGAATGAGAGCCAGTCATATACTAGTGAGAAAAATCAACAAACCTGCAAAATAATTTTTACTTACTTATAATAGTGCATGAGAAAATTTAAAAAAAAAAAGTTTATCCAGAGGTAATAAAAGTGAAAAAGGAGATTTTTAAAGAGACTTTGTACATTGAAAAACAAAAAAAGGTACATATTCCTATGGACTTTTCAGCTACATCTGATTGTGAAAATATATACAAAATGAAGGTTTAATAACACAACAAAAAAATATTAAACAGTGGCTGCCAATCACTTGAACTTTGTTTACATTTAAAAATGTCATTCTCACACTTGCATGTAATTTTACCATGACACATCATATAGCATTGAGCCTCCCTCCAATCACTGTACTTTTACCATTCAAGAGAAAATTTCACTTTTTTAAAAATCTGCATATGAACTGGTCTTCCTTTTTTATTTATTAAAAGTGAAATAGCATTGGCTAATCTCCTGAACAACATTGCTAGATGCCTACAACACACCTCCCCAAACCTTAACTAACAGAATATATGAACATTTTCTTTATCTGCCACTTGAATTGTTAGATTAACTAATTACATAATTTATATTTCCTTATGTGGTCAGTCTTAAGTCATTTGATTAGTTATATTGTTTTTTTTTTGCCTGTGAGATGTGAGTGAAGTGGTTGGATAAGCCCATTTTGTAAATGAGACATGTTAGACATTATGAAAGTAATTTTTTGCTCAAAAAAATAATATTGCATGCCCCCAAAGAGTTAATAATTGTTCAATTCACTAGAAATGTAAGCTCTATTAATAAACATTCCATGGTATCAGTTTCTCATATGACTACCTCCAAGATTTGGACATGATCAGAATAGTAACTGGTATCACAAATGGGTGTCTGTGAAAACTGTTTGTTCTTTTGTGTAGCTGTAAGTGTGTCCGCTAGAGCTGTCGTCGTCCATATCATCAAACTGACAAAAAGCAAAATAAATGAAATGAAAGTCTTATTCATAATCATCTTTAAACATTTTAATTTTTGTTTGAAATGACACTTAGTTTTGAATCTCAGGGAAATGTATAAAAATAATTCCCAAACATGTTATTTTTATACAATATCAAGAAAATAATTTACATTTTGACAAAATAAAATGGCCAAGTAATTCAGTTTAAAAAAAATAATAGTAATTAATTGGAATATTAATACAAATCCAAGTATATATAAATAGTTTTTCAGTTGAAATAAACCATGACCACTTTAATCATTTGTATTTGTGTTAGCTGGTTAGTTTTTTGTCCCTGTTCTGTTGGCTTCATGTTGTATGGAGCCTTTCTGTAAAAAGAAATGCCAAGATGCTCCATCCTTTGCCGATTCTTCCCATGTGTCTAGGTTTATATCAAATGCTTTCAGTGAGGCTTTTAGGTTGTCTTTTAAGCCTTCCGTGGTAGCGCTTACCATAGAATATTATTTTGACCAATTGGTCATCTGGCATTCTCAAAACATGTCCTGCATTAAAATGCTGGGGACACCTGCAAGCACCTCAGTGTCCGGGACCGTGTCCAACCATTTAAAGTTGTTGATTTTTCTGAGGCTTGTCGTAGGCATAGAGAAGTGCAGGGAGCCAGCTGCCTTGTATACTTTCATTTTAGTTTAAGTGCTGATACCTGGCCTGGTCCATACATTCTTAGACAATCTGCCATAGGTTACACTGATGCCTCATCTGATCCATACATTCTTGGACAATTTGCCATAAGTTGCAATAGCTCTTTCAATATGAAGGTCCTAGTCATGGATGGTAGCGCAGTATGCTAACTAGGTAAGAGGTGCTATTTACTACTTTAAGCCCTTCGCCATATACTTGAGTGTTGGGCTCAACATAAAGTTTTCGCGGAGCTGGCTGGTATAGGACCTCAGTCTTTTTGGTGTTAATGGTGAGACCCAAGTTTGTGCAGGCTTTGGATAAATTAGTGGCACTGCATTGCATACCCGCTTCTGATCCAGCGTTTAGGTCACTATTGTCCGCATACAGAAAGTCCCTGATGTCTGTAAAGACCTTTTTTTGGCATGTTGCCTCTTGAGGTTGAATAGCTTACCATCCTTTGGTATCTGATACCAGTTTCAATGTCTCCCTTTCTGAAGGCATCGGTCAGCACTGCGGAAAACACGAGGCTTAAAAGTGTTGAAGTTAGAATGCAACATTGTTGGATGCAGTTTGTCAAAGGGAACATTATTAGAGGTCTCCATTTTCCTGAACCCCGCCTACATACCAACAAGCTATATGCTTCCTCTGGAGTGGCAAAGCTCCAGGTGACAACTTGATCCCAGCAGGAGTACATGGTATACAAAGAAGGTGGCACAACTCTGACTGAAAGGCCTCACAAGCTGTTTGTACTTATGTGGCAGCAAAAGATGATTCCACAGGAATTTAAGGACGCATCAATTGTTCCCTTGTACAAACATAAAAGGAAACATCACTCCTGTGACAAGATACTCTCTAGAATCTTCCTAAACCATCTCAATTCGCATCTGAAGAAGGGTCAATTGCCAGAAAGTCAAGGCAATGTCCATAAAGAGTGGAGAACTATTGATACAGTGTTTGCAGCAAGATAGCTACAGGAAAAATGCAAGGAACAGAATGTTGACCTCTTCTCCACCTATGTAGACCTGACCAAAGCTTTTGACACTTTTAGTTGAGAAGGTCTTTGGAAAGTCATGGCCAAATTTAGATGCCGCAGAAAGTAGAGTTCCAATCAATAGTAAGGCTATTCCATAATGGTAACCTAAAAATATAGCCATCTCTTTATGACCTAGCTTTGAGTTAAACATTTTAATGACTGTATAGCTTCTAAGGTATCTTTGACCTCATTTGGTTTACAGGAAGGATTGATGGCTTACATAGGTCTAGGTCTCAGTGGGTGATAAGTATGCCAGGTTGATTGATGGCTTACTTAGGTCTAGGTCTCAGTGGGTGACAAGTATGCCAGGTTGATTGATGGCTTACATAGGTCTTGGTCTCAGTGGGTGACAAGTATGCCAGGTTGATTGATGGCTTACATAGGTCTTGGTCTCAGTGGGTGACAAGTATGCCAGGTTGATTGATGACTTACATTGGTCTAGGTCTCAGTGGGTGACAAGTATGCCAGGTTGATTGATAATTGATGGCTTACATAGGTCTAGGTCTCAGTGGGTGACAAGTATGCCGCATGCCAAGTAAAATGGAAAAAATATGGTTGGAAATGATAAGCTAGGAAAATTAAATTAAAAAAAAAGAAGGTGTTGATGTTCTTACCAGTCCACTATCATATGGCTGACCCCATCTTAGGTCATCATCATCATCTATATACTTAGGATTCGGTAGAGTTAATCTCCCTTGCGCGCGGTCTTCTGCAAAGGCAGGGTTGATAATGCCTACACCAGGGCCCTGATAGAAATGATCTCTGTTGTTCCTACGAGACGGTGAGAGACCCTAGGATAACAAAAAACAGGTTTCGGCTTAATTCAATGCATCCCTTAAAGAATTCCATCGCATTATGAAGCCACTTTCCCTATGAGAATTGGTAAAATTAGAAATAATGAAAATCTTTTCCTGTATTCTCTTTAAAAACTTTCAAATAAATCCACACAAAAAACAACAAAAATATCCCACAAATTCAATAACATGAAAATTAACTTTAAGAGTTAGAGTAAAAAATTGATCTATTAAAAATTATAGTTGTTAAAAAATATTTAAATGTAACAAAGTTCAATATAAATTGAACAACTATCAATCCTTTATAAAATGTAATATCAAAGGGGGAGGGGTGTGTTAGACCATAAGGCTCGCAGCGGCACATTATTTTTCACTCCCCTGAATCATATTAACTCATTCCCTCCTACAGTGCTACTTCTGTACTTAATTTATTTTCCTGAGAAAAGGGAAGCAACTCAGTTTTGAAGTTGATTTACATCTAAAAATATTTTTTTAAGCTGCTAAATAATAATAAATGTTAATGAATTAAGGACGAATGCATCAAAAAATGAATAAGGTTTAATAAAAATATAACATTAGCGGTGAAAAAATAATGAAAAATGGCAAAAAATTGATTTTTGGCCCCTCGAACGAACACATGCTAGATACAGGCTAGCCGTACTAAAGCACACATAGTTTTAAAGTGAAACAAGGTAAAAACTTCCGGTTTTTAAATTAAAATCACGCAGAAATCACGCCATAGCCGAAGTCTCGAGGGACGCGAGATTTCATTGCTTTTTTAACTAAAAAATAAGAGAGGTGTGTCTCTCTGCACAGGGACGCATCAGGAGAAATCCCCTAAGGACGTATTTAGTCGCAACCATCGGGAATGAGTTAATATTCGAATGACCCACCCACTTAATCACCACAAATTAATTTAAACAACCATTTCAGAAAAAAAAAAATATCGCGCATCAAATGCACTTAAGATATTTTTTTTTTTTTAAAAGAATCTCATTTAGCTCATTTATCAGGAATTTTATTTCGTGAAATCAGTGTCATCATATTGCCTTCATCTTCCCCTTGAAAACAGACAAATTAAAATAAATGTTCCACTTACACTTGTATCAATGACACTTCCGTCGGTGGCGTCAATAACATACAAGCCTCTAGGCATGTTCCCTTGGCCTTGCCTCTGCAACGGCATCCTCTCCCGTATATACGGCTCCTTAGAGCCACTTCTTCTCACACAAAGAGCCAGAACCACAAACAAGATGAGAAGCGCAAGAATACACATGAGAACAATGAACCAAACTTCCTCATACACTGCCGTCTTTGTGGATTTATCAGCAAGAACAACGGCCGGTGTTGTGGTTCCTGATTTAAAAAGAAAGAAAACAGTATGACAAAACCTACTTCAATCAAGAGTATGATTTCTTTATGTCATCTATGATTACTCTAGAGTACACATGATCATTTAGAAATGTTGATATTTTCAAGCCTTATAGTGAAATATTTATTGACAAATAAATCATATGAGATTAAACATTTGTTTAAAACAGCTGTCTCAATGTTAAAGCCCCTTCCAGCCCTTCTTTTCTAACATGCCACATGTAATAAGAAGAGCCAGGCTCAAGTATGGAATACGTTTGTATTATGTGGTTCTTGAGTCATTGGGATTGTCTTCAGGCACTTGAGATTATGGCAGGCACTTGAAGAAATTATGTAAGGCACTTGAGATAATGTCAGGCACTTGAGGAGATTATGTCAGTCACTTGAAGAGATTATGTAAGGCGTATTCTGTCCGTTCCCAAGACACACACTAAAACATATGGTGAACGATCTTTCTCTTTCTGCGCCCCCCAAACAATGGAATTCTTTGCCACTACACATACGCAATATACCAACCACCCAGGCCTTCAAAACTGCACTCAAAACACATCTTTTTAAATTATACTACCCTGAGTGATTCCCCTCCTCTGACCGATAAACGATCTTGCTGTCTGCCGTCCATGGTTTGCCTTGAAAAAGTTATGTGGTGGGGTGGGTGAATATACATTGCTGTTTTTTACTTTCATAAATGTATTTTATTTTAATGTCATGATTATGTCTCTTTTGATAAAAATTTTATGTACAGCGCTATATAAGACCCCTTATTATTATTATGTCAGGCACTTGATGAAATTATGGCAGGCACTTGATGAGATTATGTAAGGCACTTGAGATTATGTCAAAAATTTGAGAAGCTTATGTCAGGCACTTGAGTAGATTTTATACGAGGCCTTTGATGTAATGGAGACTATACTTGTACCAGAATCAAAACAAAAGAGTTTAAGAACTTTACAAAATAATTAGCGACCGGTTGATAACAAGATATAGAGATATCCTAGATATACATAATTTATTGCAGGAGTTAGCTAAAATCAAAGTCTACAATATGATTGGTCTACACTACATCACTTTAATATGTATTTGGATAGATTAATGAATGTTTGACAATCCAGTTTTGAGGTTAAATATAC